CAATGCTCAAAACAAATAGGAGAACAATCCTGATCAAATACAGACAAGAGAAGTACAGAGCAAAACACAAAGAGCAAAGAACACAAGACACAAAGAAAGGCAACTAAGACAAGAAAAGGAAAGGATCAGCAGGAAAACACAGCAGCAACATCAAACAAAAAGAGAGGGATAGAGACCAGCATGGATCAGTCAGGAAGCAGGCAGAAGTCAGGTCATCCAGAGTTCCAAGCACATGAGAGGGAGGTCACACAGACAAAGCAAGACACAGACAGCCAGAGCACAGGAAACACACATTTTCAAGTCACACACAAGAAGATTCACAAAGCAGCAAGCCAGAGGGAACACAGGCAGAAGGACAGGGCAAGGTTCAGTGTCCAATTCAGACAATCAACACAGCAGTTTCACAGGTTTCAGAAGAGAGGCGAACAGCAGGAGCAGACATGAGGCAGAGCAGCGCACACAGAGCAGAGAGCAAAGACGAGACAGGACAGAGATGGAGGGGGGCATCGAGAGACAGCAGGCAAAGAAGGAACAGCAGCAGAGCAGCGAATAGCAGACAGTCAAGTCCGCAGGCAGAGCAGATGTCCATGTCAGTCAGCATCAGGCATATAAGCGACAAGAGACAGCAAGAGACAGGCAGGTTTCAAAATGTCCAGAAGTCGAGCAGATGAGGAGCAAGCAGAGGGAAGTTTTCAACAGCAGGCACGCAGAGAGGTGCATGAAAGCATGACAACGAGAACCAGTGGAGGTTCAGACAAGAGCAAGCAGCAGCACAGTCAGCAGGAGTGTTTCAAGCAGAGGCAGAGGTCAGAGGAGGCATTCAGCAGAACAGGCAGAGCAGGTCAGCAGCAGACAGGAGGCAAAGATCCAGAGTCAAGAGAGCAAGCAGAGACAAAATCAGGGAGAGGCCACAAGGTCAGCGAACAGCAGATCAAGCAGCAGCAGAGCAGCAAAGAGAGCAGAAGAGAGCAGAACAGAAAGGCAGAACACAGTTCAGCAAGCAGCAATCAAGCAACAGTTCAGAAGCCACCACAGGGAAAGCAGAATAAACAAATTTCAGACGTCAGAATCCCCACAAGAGTCAGAAGCAGCATTTCAACACAGCAAGACATGCAGAGCAACAACAGAAAGAGCAGGCACAGAGAGAAGAAAGATGAGCAAGCAGAAAAGAGACAAAGGGGCAAAGAGAGAGTCAGTACACAACAGAAGAGAGAATGGATGGGGAAAAACATCATCGATGCCAAACAGTGCAGGCAGAGGCCAAGAGAAGAACAGTCAAAAAAAGCAGTTCAGAGTGGAGCAAGCACAAAAAATCAGCACACAGAGAGACAAGAATACGAGCAGCAAGGAAGAGAGTCATGTAGAGGAACAAGAAAGGCAGGAAATCATGAGGAGTCAGTAAGGGCAACAAATTCAAGAGGAAAGCAGCACATGTCAGATGCAGATCAAGAGAATCAGAGCAGCCGAGTTAGCAAAGAAAGAACAGAACCAGCAGCCAGGCAGCAGACCATCACAAGAGCAGGGGGAAGGGATTCAGTCACAATCAGCAGAAAAGCAGCAGTAGCTGAGCAGGCACAGAAGTCAGCAAACAGAACAGGAAAAGTCAAAGTCAAACAGAGAGGCAAAACAGGATCCAGAGAGGCAGGGCAGCAGCATCACAGCAGCAGCAGCAGCAGCAGTCACAGAGAGCAGGGAGAGTCAGGTCAGCAGAGCAGACGAGAGCAAGCAAGTCAGAGCAGGGACAGAAGAGAGTAAACAGTTTCAGATCAGCAGCTCAGTCAGAGCAAGCAGCAGTCAGCAGCAGCAGAGCAGACATCAGACATTTCCGTCAAGCAGAAGGTTTCACAAAGAGCACAGCAGAACAGAACAGAGCAGGCCGATCAGGGAGTCAGCAATCAAAGAAGCAAAAGAGCAGAATCAATCGATCAAGAAGACAAGAGAGCAGGGCAGGAAGGACATTCAGAGCAGAAGTCAGACAGAAAACAGACAGAGTCAGGAGTCCCACCAGCAAGCAGAGGAGGCAGTCACAGAGTTTCAGAGGCAAGAAGAAGAGAAACCAAGCAAGGGAGAGCATAAGAGTTCAGTCAGGCACAACAGCAAGCACCAGGGCAGTCAGAGCAAGCAGCAGAGAGGACAGCAGAAGCACAGGGCAACAAGACAGATCAACAGGGCAGAATTCAGCAGGAGGCATCAAGCAGCAGACAGCAGAGCAGTCAGGTCAGCAGTCAGGGAATCACAAGAGTCCAGGGCGAGGAGATTTCAGGGTCCATCACATTCAGGCAGAGCAGCACAGCAGTCTCAAGCAGAGCAGCAATCATCCAAGGAAGAATCAGTCAGCAGATACAAGAGGCAGGAGCAGTGAACACAGGGGATGCAGCAGCACAGGTCAAGGTCAACAGCCACAGCAGGGTTCAGACAAAGTTCCCATCAACAGGTCAAGACAGACGCAGCAGTCAGCAGCGGAAGAAGCATATCAGAGGCACAAAGCATGAGAAAGGAGAGAGTTTTCAGTCAGTCAGAGGCAAGGACACAGCAGGTTCAGCAAGAGGGCAGCAGGCAGATTTAGAAGGCACATGAGGCAGGCATCAGTCATTCCAGCAACACAGAAGTTTCAGCAGGCACGCAGGAGTTCCAGCAAACACAGGCAGAGGGGCAGCAGAACAAAGCAGGCAGATAGTCAGCAGGCAAGGAAGGATCACAAACAGCACACATCAGAGCAGCACACATCAACAACAGAGAGGCAGAGCAGGAGCAGTCAAGGAGCAGCAAACAAATTTTCAGAACAGACCGGCCAGCAACACACAGGAAGGGAATCAGGCAGCACAAGAGCAGCAGACAATTTCAAACAGCACACACAAGAAGAGGCACAGGCAAACAAGCAGAAAAGCACAGGTCATCAAGACAGTAGATCAAGCAAGGGTCTAGAGACAAGCACATTCATCACACAAGAAGGACATAGCAAAAAGAAGAATAGCAGATCAAAAGATGTTTCAAGAAGAACAGAAAGGGCAGCAGCAGAGCAGAAGAAACAGCAAAAGAAGCAATCAGTCTGAGGAAGACAGGGGTCAGCCAAGGAAAACAAAGAGTTCAGCACAGCACAAGGCAGAACAGCAGAGTTTCGAGAAGGCAGCAAGCAAAGAAGAGCCAAAATGCAGCATGCATCACACAAAGCAGCAGTCAACAATTTCATCAACAGGCAAGAGAAGAAGGAACATTTCAAGGCAGAAATGGAGCAGCAGCAAGCAGAGCAGAGCAGAGCCAGAGACAGGCACAGCCAAGAGTTCAAGCAAGGAACATCAAGCCCGTCAGAACAGGCAAGCAAGCAGCAGCAGCACAAGGTCAGAGACATCATTCACAGATCAGGATCAGTCAGAGAGAGTTTCACAGGAAGCAGCAGCAGTAGGCAGAGAGGGCATCAGAGCCACAGAGTCAAGAAGAATCAAGAAGAAGGGAGGAGAGCAAGAGCAGGCAGGCAGCAGACAAAGGAAGCAGCAACACACAGGCCAGGCAGAAAGAGAAGAGCAGATCAAAGGGAATTTTCAGCAGAAGCCATTCCAAAAGGCCAGAGATCATCAGAGGAGAGCAGCAACCATCCAAATTCAAAGAGAGTTCAGACAGGCAGAAGAGCATCAGCAGACTCACATCAGCAAAAGGATAAGAGCGTACAGGAGAAAGCAGTCAGCAGAGCAAACAATCCACAAGGACAAGGTCAAGATTCAGCACAGCAGCACAGGCATAGAGCAGGGCAGCAACAAGACACAGCAAAAGCAGGGGACAGGGTTTTTCAGAGGGGGGCAGAAGCAGCAGGCAGTCACAGAAACAGGCACATGACAAAGCAAGTCATCCAACAGACACCAGCAAGGGGGAGCAGCATCATCACAAAGTCAGCAAACAGAGGAGAGTCAAGGCAGTCAGAGCAAAAGATCGGGAAGAGGTCAAGACAAGCAGCAAGAAAAACAAGCAGACAGAACACAGCAACAAGAGCAGACAGCAGTCATCAGAGCAACCAGCACAACAAGGAGAAAAGCACAGAGGAGAGAATTTCAGAAGGAGAGAAAATCAGTCAACAGCACAGCAGAGGCAGTCAGCACAGGCAGGAATCACAGCAAGACAGTTCAGAGAGAAGGAGCAGCAGACAGACAGAAGCAGAAAACCCCCCCGAAAAATAAAAAAAACCCATCACAGAAAGAGCACAGGCAGCAGAGCAGGCAACAAGGCCAGAAATTCAGCAGCAGAGCAACACAGTTCAGCAGATGAAGATGAGGCAGCATCAAAGCAACTGAATTTCAGGGAGAGGCAGCAGAGCCAGAGAAAAAAGGGAACAGTTTACAAGCAAAAGGCAGGCATCCATCATCAGAGGAAGTCAACAGCAGGGGCACACAGAAGAAGTCACAGGGCAGGCAGATCCAAGTCAATCAGGAGAAAGCCAGGAGCAGCAGCAGTGAATGGCAATCAGGTCAAGGCAGCAAGATCCAGTCCCAGTCACCTTTCAGAGGGAAGGATCAGTCAAGCACAGAGCAGCAGAGCAGATCAGAAACAATGGGTAAAACATAGTTTTCAGTTCAGTCAGATGCAGCTAGAGTCAGAGGCAGATGAGAAATCACATTTCAAGCAGGGAGAGCAATGACAGGAGCACAAGCAGCACAACAGACAGGAGGAGCAGCATCAGCACAGCAGAAGTCAACAGCAGCAGAAACGAATCAGGAGAGCAGACAGAGACAGAGCAAGAGGAGCAAGAGATAGAGAGCAGGGAGAAATCAGATCAGAAGAAGGAGCAGGATCAAGCAAAAAGCCAGCAGCAGGTCATCAAAAGGAAGAGCAGTTGCTGGAGCAGCATCAACAGCAGCAGAACAGAAAACAGGCAAGAGAGTCAGAGAAATCACAGGACAAGGAAAGCCAGAAGAAGTTTCATTTCAGCAGATCAGTCAGAGTCAAAGCAGAGAGCATCAGATCAGAGCAGTTTCACAGCAGGAATCAGCATCAGGGCAGCATGATCAAAGAGAACTATAATTATATTAACCTTGCTCCCACTTTACTATCCCTCCCTCCCCTCCTCTTTCCCGCGCTGTAGAACCTGGACATGGTGACGTTGACCATCCAGACCTCACCATAGCCACCACACAAAACCCACACCGGTTCAGGTTACGACTCCGAGCCGAATGTAGCATATAGACTGACCCCGAGATACTGAAGAAGGGTGCAGTTGTCTCTTCGGCTCAGGTCATCAAAGGTCAGTTAGTAGACATGATCACTGGCTAGTTCTTACACATGTCTCTTTCATACCACCAGGAGCATATACAAGACAAAAGGTGAGAGCTCTTGTTTCTATAAAAAAAAAAGAGTGACCAATGTAATCGATTAGCAAATGTGAACCTGCCTAGTTTCTTAATGCACCAATTGTCCGCCTTACTGTTACAGCTAAAAGTCATGTTAAGTATGTCAAAGTATTTATATTTGTACAAATGTGTGTCAAATAACCGTTCAAGAGTTGTTTAGTCGTGATAAATTCGTGTGTGTGTGTGTGTGTTTTGTGAGCAGGAGAGGCGGGAGAAGATGCAGAAGAACCGCAGGACCTCCATTTCCACCCTGCGAGGAACTGCTAGAGAGGGCAAAGACAAAGACGCCGAAAAAGTCCTCAAGGTACGTAGCATGCACTGGAGACTCTTTGTGTGAAAACCCCATCAATCCTGTCTGCACTCTATCAAGACTCCATGATATGTGCTATCAAGTGCTGCTTTTAAGTATATACTACTCACTTCTGCCCCTCCCTCTTTTCCAGGGTCTCCTGGATGTTGCCGAGGCAACTGCCAGCGAGCGAGACCACGACGTCCTGGCGGCCGGAGCCGGCGTCTCCATGATGACAGACCAGGACCGCGAACGTGCCCCCGTCACTCCGAAGCGATGGGACGCAATGCTCAAGCGACCGGATCTCGACTACTCTGATCTGTTCTCGGAGACCACCGGGAAGCTCCCCGGTCTCACCATCTGGCAGATTGAGAACTTCTACCCCGTGGAGATTGACGAATGTGAGCACACACTGGAAAATTTGACCGTTTGGGGCGGTCTCGCTTGATTTCCTGTTGAGTTGCTTTTCAAAATAGTTGTACTGCTGCTTTGAAAGTCGATCGATGCTTCTATTTACTCTCCTCACAGCCCAGCATGGCCAGTTCTACAAGGCAGATGCCTACATCATCTTGAAGGTTTGAGCAGTACAATGATTGGATTTGTACATAGTTTGTAACAACCGTCCTTCTGTCTCTGCCTCTCTCCTCCTGTGTCTGCTCCATCTGTCTCTCTCTCTCCTCCTGTGTCTGCTCCATCTGTCTCTCTCTCTCCTCCTGTGTCTGCTCCATCTGTCTCTTCTCTCTCCTCCTGTGTCTGCTCCATCTGTCTCTGTCTCTCTCCTCCTGTGTCTGCTCCATCTGTCTCTGTCTCTCTCCTCCTGTGTCTGCTCCATCTGTCTCTGTCTCTCTCCTCCTGTGTCTGCTCCATCTGTCTCTCTCTCTCTCCTCCTGTGTCTGCTCTATCTAGACTCAATGGAACGAGATGTCAGAGATGGACTGGGAAATTTATTTCTGGATCGGAGAAGAATCTACGGTGAGCTTCACTCACCCTCCTCTCTTTCACCGCTCTTACCATCTCCCTTCTCCTCCCCCTGCTCCTCTCTCTCTCTCTCCTCTCTCTCCTTTCTTACTTCTTCTCTCCCGCCACTCTTTGTCTTATCCCTTCCCCTGTCTCCCCTCTCTACCTCCTCTCTCCTCTCTCTCGTTTCTTTTACTTCTTTTCCCCCTCTCCCCCTCTCCCCCTCCTCTTCTTCCCCCTCATCACAGATGGACAAGAAGGCGTGTGCCGCCATGCACTCTGTCCATCTTCGTAACATGTTGGGTTGCGAGCGACGGACGCACCGGGAAGAAATGGGCGACGAATCAGACACTTTTGTCGATCTCTTCCCAGAAATCACCTACATTGAAGGTCAGGTGACAAACACACTCTCCTTCACAACTGTCATGTGACTGTCATGTGATCACAGGTGGTTCCCACAGTGGATTCTTTACTGTGGAAGAGAGGTATTCAAAAACTGCAGCACCAAATTTTGAGACGCAACAATAATCCACGAATCAGCCGTTTTTAGATTTTCACAGAAGCACAAAGTTTAGGAAAACAACTTCAGTTGCCCGTGTACCTTTTACGCCGAAGTTGTTTCTATGACTGACATTTTGCTCTCACCTTCTCGTTCCTCCTCCTCCCCCAGGATGTGGTGTATCGTCTCTTCCAACTGCAGGGAACCAAGCATCCTTTCCTTGAGCCGGTACGTTCATAGTATATACATATATACATAATTATACCTGTGTGTATATTTTGCACTCTCTGTGAGGCTATATACATATTATACCTGTGTGTATATTTTGCACTCTCTGTGAGGCTATATACATATTATACCTGTGTGTATATTTTGCACTCTCTGTGAGGCTATATACATAATTATACCTGTGTGTATATTTTGCACTCTCTGTGAGGCTATATACATATTATACCTGTGTGTATATTTTGCACTCTCTGTGAGGCTATATACATATTATACCTGTGTGTATATTTTGCACTCTCTGTGAGGCTATATACATATTATACCTGTGTGTATATTTTGCACTCTCTGTGAGGCTATATATGTACATATGAGTGCACCATACAGGCATACAACTTGGTGAACTGCAGTTGTATACAGATAGGATCACATATATATGCATTGAATTCATCTCCATGTGTGTGGATCCGAGGGAAATTAAACTTTCCGTGTCGGAGCTTATGCGTTTATATAATCCATTTAATGTACATTTGGCTACGTTTTGGAACTATTACATCATAAGTTGTGTGCCATTTGCTCTCATCTGATGCTGCATCAAGTGTACATACTTATGAGAGAGACTGGTGTGTGTGTGTGTGTGTGTGTGTGCGTGTTGTAATAGGTGGAGATGGAGGCAGAGAGTCTGAATCTGGGCCAGGTGTTCCTCCTGGACTGCGGCGAGGTCATCTTCATCTGGTGCGGGAGCCGCTCATCTCTCATGAGCCGATCCAAGGCCCGTCTCCTCGCCGAGAAAATCAACAAGTTTGAGAGGAAAGGCCACAGCAAGATCATCCAGCTAAGACCAGTAGGCTCTCTCCTCTTCCTCCCTCCTCCTCATCATCTCATTACTGTCTCCGATTACAGGGGCTGGAGCCTGATCAATTCTGGCACTTTCTCGGAGGAGAACTTGAGAAACCCATTTCAGTGGGTCCCATTCCCAATATTCCAAACCACATTCCCCCATTCTCCCATTCTCCAGTTTCGTGAGTACGTCTATGTCCCAAGACGACCAATTCTCTATCGCGTGGGCCTCGGTACTGGCTACCTGGAGCTACCACAAGGTGTGTGATAGTCATGTGACAGTCACGTGAGTGTCATGTGACCACTGCCCCACCCAGTGGAGGTGCCGATGGGTCAGTTGAAACGTGCCATTCTCAAGACTAGCGACGTGTACATCCTGGACTGCCATACCGATATTTTCGTCTGGTGGGTAACTATTATGCTGCACGGTATATAGAGAGTGAATTAGTATAGCAAGCGAGAGGTTTACAGAGAAACTCACCCTCTCGTCTTTCGCATTTTCCCCTAGTTCGTTCCCACTTCGTATTTCAGCTATCTCGCTTTCTCTTTTCGTGTTTCGCCTATATATCTCTCTCCCACCTTTCATCTTTCTGGCCTGTCTTCCTCGAAACATTCGTCCCTTTGGGGAGAGCACTGGACTATTTGTCTTTGTCTCCTCTCTCTGTGTGTGTGTGTGGCAGGATTGGTCGTAAGAGTGCTCGTCTGGTGAGGGCAGCTGCACTGAGAATGGCTGATGAACTGCGGACCATGCTCAAGAGACCACTGAGTGCTCTCGTCACTCGCTGCCAGCAGGGGTGAGCTTCTTCCTCCATCACCCCCTCCTCCTCCTCCTACACTCTCTCTCTCTCTCTCTTCCTGTGCTCCTTTACCTAATCCCCTCTCTTTTCCTCTCCTCTCTCAATACACTGCCTCTCTTCCCCCTATCTTCTCCTTCCTTAAACCTCCTCCCTTTCTCTCTCTTCTCTATCTTGTCTTGCATTTTATACCATCCCTATATTCACCATTTTTAATTTACTTGTCTCCTTTTATTTTTTTGCTGTGTTCCTATGCAGAACTGAGCCAGTCATATTCAAGACGAGGTTCGTCGGTTGGGAAGATGTGGTGGCAGTAGACTTCACCAGAACTACAGATATGCTGGAGAAAAGAGAGCAGGAAATGGTACATACGCAATACGTTGTAAAATTGTCAACACCCTTTGCTCTGTGCCTCGCTGTTATCTTCTCAGAAACAGAATCCAGGACAAGATCCTAGCAAGAAAGCTGCCAAGGTATACTGTATGATATGCAGTTTTGCAGTAAACTAGCTAACCACTTAACCATGTGTGTGTGTGTGTGTGTGTGTGTTCAGGTTGACATGTCTCCTCTGTTTCTGGAGAGGCAGCCTCCCATGCCCAACAGAGACGCCGTGAGTCTGTGTGTGTGTGTGTGTGTGTGTGTGCGTATTTTGAAGGCCTTTTGATAAGGTTTTGCTACTAATACCAAAGTTCTCCCTCTCTTTCCTCTGAACAACAACTACGAGAGTGAACGCTGTGCCTCACAAATCTTCCTCCTGCCTATCCCTCCCCCTCCCTCCCTTTCTTCGCTCAACAGAACGAGATTGCATTCCAGTTCAACCGACAGCTGGTGAGCATGCGATGTTGCATCATCGAGGGTCGAAAGTTCTCCATCCTACCCAACAAAGAGAAAGGTATATGTAGTGACTTGTTTGCTTTGCCTTGTGTACACCTCATTATGGACACATAGACAGATGTGGCTCAATAGGTTTACTGGATTCAAAAGGACAACTTGGTCCATAGGGACAATATTTAGGACTTGGAGAGAGGGGTGTGGGTAAAACCCTGCGTCCATGTGCCTTAATCATTAAACTCTCTGGATGAGTATATATCCCAAGCCCCCCCTAAATGAACTCCTGGCAACTGGATCAAATGTATGCAGTGTAGAAGGCGAGTATTATTGTGGCACTAAAAGTCCTTTGCAGTATAAGTCGTCACATGCTGAAAGTGTATATACTTAGTCATGACTTATGTATTGGTACTGTTTTTCCCAGGTCATTTCTACAGTGGAGAGTGTTACTTTTTCCTTTGCCGCTACCTGGAGGACAAAGGTCAGTGTGGGTCATGTGACTCTCCGGTGAGGTCACCTGACTGTCATGTGACAGAGCGAGACGAGGAGAGTGGGGAGGAGAGTGGGGACGGGGAGGAGGAAGAGGAGGAGGAGGACGAGGTACAGACGGTGGTCTATTTCTGGCAGGGCAGGGACGCCTCCAAGATGGGCTGGCTTCACTTCACTCTGGGGTGAGGCGGGAGAGGGGGTTCATGCCCGCTTAGTTTAATGTCATTTTGCACCCTGCAATAATTGTGATGGTTGTGCACAAAGACCTTGCTTACTTTTTACAGGGGCTGATAGCAAATTTTGCAGGATTCTTATATTTTGAAACTGATTCGTTTTCAATTTATGCAGGATTCAGAAGCAGCTTGAGCAGGCTATCGAAGGGCCTCTCGACGTCATTCACCTGAAGCAGGTACTGTAGTGTACGTGTTGTTTTGCAGTGATGATGATATTCAGTTTTTGTTTCTCTCGCACAGCAACAGGAGGACTTTCGCTTTCTCTCTCATTTTGGAAGCAAATTCATCATTCATTGGGTGAGCTGATCTCCCACTATTATACAATGACCAAAATTTCTGGACAAAGGATCAAAATTTCATTTGACCTGTGCTGCATAGCCACAATCTCATACACTTAACCATCGTGAACCTTCGAGAATCAAGAGTTACATAACCGCAACATTTTGATGTGGGCAAAAATCATTTTGACAAGCAACCCACAATATTACCAAATTTTTTTCCCCCTAAGAATTGAAAATTGAATTTTCTCTCACATGGACAGGGAAGGAGGAGTCCGGATGTGAAGAACTACCAGCCCTCTCTGTACCAGATCAGAGCCAACCAGAGCAAACTGTGTCGCCGCGTGGTACAGGTCCCTGCCACGCCCACCTCACTCAACTCCGCCTTCTGGTGAGGTCACATGACATTCACATGATCTCAGGCTTGCCGGTCATGTGATAATCACATGCACTTGGATCATGTGATCATCATGTTAACTCTAGCTAGGATCATATGAGCATCACAGAACCTTCTCTTTTAAGTGTCATGTGATCATCACATGAGGTACAATAGTATTCTTATTAGACGTAACCTTAATGCAATTTTCTCTGGCGAGGATCATGTGAGCATTACTGCCCCTTTGGTGTCATGTGATCATCACATGATTGTCATGTGACTGTCACACACATGCAGCCACATACTGAAGGTTCCATTTGAGACTGGAGGGACCGGGATCGTCTACATCTGGATAGGGAGCCAGGCGACCCAGGAAGAGGCCATCCACGCAGAGCAGATGGGGAGGTCCATGTTTGATGTGAGTCTCTCCACACACCACAGTAATAATATCTTCCAGTTGCACGTGGGTCTAATGTGACCAAAATGACCATGGTCATATTATTAATGGCTGCACACATGGAGATGAAACTTGGTACGCATACATATTACATCATTTCCATGACGACAACAGGCATTTTACTCTATTAGTAATTTTTATAGGGGTTTGCCCCCTTCTACAGAGATAATATGTAGTAGTATATAAAAATGAGTGGAGGCAAGTAAACTAAAAATACCAGAGAATGTTCAACTTTGTGCAGATGTGTATAGTGTTTCTTAGCCTGTAAATGCACATGTGACTGTGTTGAATTCTCAATTAACTCAGTTCCTTTTTTCTCTCTGACCATCTTTCCGTTCAGTCGACTTATTCAAACGTGTTGGTCCAAGAAGGTGCGGAGCCCGAGAATTTCTTCTGGGTGGCCCTCGGCGGGAGAAAGGACTACGAGACTGTGAGTTCTGACCGGCAATTTTTTTCAGTTTTATTTCTCCCGATTTTCCCTGCCAGAATGCAAATTTCATGAAGCACAGTCGGCTGTTCCGCTGCTCCAACGAGAAGGGTTTCTTTGCAGTCTCGGAAAGTGTTCCGACTTCTGCCAGGTGTGTGTAGGTGTCACGTGACCGTCACATGATTTTCACCTGACCTCCTCTTGCGTATAGGGGGATCTCTGTAACCAGGATGTAATGCTAATGGACACTGGCAAGGAGGTTAGTAATTTTGTGCAAAAAATATTTTCGTAAAAAATGGGTTGTAAGCTTTGCCTATGCCTAAAGTTGTTTACTAATGGTGTACATAAACATGGCACACCCGGTGCAATGCGCAAATCTTAATAGAGTGTTTGGTAACTAGACCATGCCACACCCACTGCAATAAGTGACACACCCCATTGCAATAAGTGACCGTTGTTCTACTTTTGTGGCAGGTGTTTATGTGGTTTGGACCAGATTCAACGGACATTGAGAAGAAGCTGTCAGTGAAGGCTGCTCAGGTGGGTGTTCTAGCTGCTCGGGTGGGTGTTCTAGCTGCTCCTCCTACCAACTCTAGCTTGGAACTTTTACACAAGGAATTTTATTTGCACGGTTTCCTGTTCCACTATGCAAACATTTGCTGTTTTGGCCTCGGTGCTGTGAAATTGAGACATTGTGTGTCCTAAGTTTATGATGAGGGTGGCATTAACATTGCAGCCACTATTATTGTACATTATATTAGTGCAACAGTAACTGACAGGAGAGAGATGGGTTTCTCCCTTTTTGGCTGTTGGTAGGTGTACATCAAGCACCTGGCAGAGAAGGGAGAGGGGGAAGAGGGAGGAGGAGGAGGTGGCAAGAGGAAAGTAAAGTTGGCCAGGAGAAGCGCAGAGCCATGGGAGTTCACCAGGTGTTTCCATGGCTGGGTGACCCCCCAAGATACCACCCAGCAACCTAGACTCCCCTAGAGAGGACACCTTCATTGAATTTTTAATACATCAATATTTTTTAGGGTAGCTCCATGAAATCATGTTTAGATGTCAGCTCAGATAGACCCGTTATTACGCGCATGCGCATATGGGACAGATGAACTTTAGCTATTGTGTGACAAGTCCCTCCCTCGCGCACGTGTGTGCGTGTGCGTGTAGTTAGATATGGCTGCTAGTCGTCCCTGCGACGATACTCCTCTCCCCGTCTCTGTGCCCAAAGGTGAGCAGAGTAGAGCCCAGGAGCCGTGAATATACGTTGGACTTTCAGTCTTCCAGCTGCTGTACGATACGTGTCGACGAAGGGGAGACCACAGTGCGCTCGTTCCTCTCGCGTCTGAGGAATGACAAGAACCTCGTTGAGAAGTAAGTGGACGCTACGGAGGGAAAGTGTGTGAGATTTGTATCACCGTGTGCATGTTTCAGTGCCGGCGAGCTGGAGCTACGTTATGTTCCAGCCTGTCACCTCTGGCTGGGTACTGTGGCAGAGTTCCCCAAATTGGCGGAAAATGAGAGGATATTCCCGCACCTGCCTGGAAATGGCATTGGAAAGGTGCTCCTACTCACAAGGAGTGTTTCAGTATGTGCAAGAGAGCATGACATGGGTGGAAGTGAGAAGAGGACCGACGAGAAGAAAGGGAGAAGAATGATGTGTCAGGAGAGAGTAGGAGCGAGAGAGAACTGGTAAACCAGAGTGTGTGGGTGAGTGAAACAGACTCTGAGAGTGAAGCCAGACAGCGGCCCGGGCAGAGTGTCTCCCTGGACTGAGGCAGGTCCATGTCTCGACACATACACCACTGTCTCTCCTCCCCTCTAGAAGACAGGGGTCCCTCCTCCAGCCAGCCGCACTGCCACTAGAAGCCGAGATAACTAATGAGCCAGCCCCACTTACACCAAGTGAGCCAAAGAGAACTACTACACTACCACTAGAGACAAAAGTTACTGAGCCACTAGGATTACAACAAGACACCAATGGAACTACACTACCAAAAGGGACCAATAGAACTACCGCAGTACCAACAGTGACACAAGAGACCTACAAGCCACTCACATTACCACAAGAGACCAAGGGAACCACTGAAATACCACAAGAGACCGAGAGAACCACTGAGCCACCAAGACTACCACAAGAGACCAAGGGAACCACTGAGCCACCAAGACTACCACAAGAGACCAAGAGAACCACTGAGCCACCAAGACTACAGCAAGAGACCAATAGAACCACAGACTTAGTCCTTTCTGAAGCTGCCAAAACCAAAGAGACCGAATCTGATGTGGTAATGATTGTTTCAGCCGAAGGTAAAAGAGGTGACAATGAACAAAGAAAAGAAGCTAATGGGAGTGACTCTGGATTGAATGCCACTACGGACTCTCACTCTGAGTGCTCAGTCGACCTGAACTCTGAGGAGGTTCCAATGATTGTATGTCCAACAGTAGGTGGAGTTGTTGGTGGGGAGTGTGGGGAGGGAAGAGATGGGGAAGTGGAGGAGAGGGAAAGAGGGAAGGGGGAGGGAGGAGGGGATAAGGAGGATGAAGGGGAAGAGGAGGTGGGAAGTGACGAAGGGATTGGAATGGAGGTGTGTGTGGGGAGTGAGACTGGGGAGGGTGGGAGTGTGATTGTGGTGATCGGGAGTGAAGACGATGAGGAACGGTATCAGGGTGTGTCTGGAATGGAACAGAACCCGGTGATCCACTGCTGTGGAATGGAACTCAGCCAGAGTGACCTTCGTACTCTTGAACCTAACAAATGCCTGAATGACCAGGTATGTAAATATTGTCGAATTGTTGTCAGCTTCAAACTTTTACTAAGAACTGATGTACGACCTAGAACTATGTCAATTTCCTGCTGGTGGTATCTGCAGGTAGTGAACTGCTACATGAAGCTGCTGGTGAAGCAAGCCGTGAGGAAGCCCGACACCGTTGCCATAGCAAGCACATTCTTCTACACCAAGCTGTGTCGTGGTGGTTTCAGCGGAGTCACAAGATGGATGAAAAACGTGAGATAAAACACCTTGATTGCATTTGTCTCTGTTACTGCTAGCTTTCTCCTGTGGTCTCAGGTGGATTTTGCCAGACTTCGTCTTTTTCTCGTCCCGGTTCATCTGCCTACTCAGCAACACTGGTGTCTTGTAGCCGTCCATATCAGGAGGAGGGTGGGCATTCATTAGAGTATGCATTCAGCAGCATCCACATACACGTGTGTTACTATTCCGTGACTATTGAGTATCCAACTGTATTCAGCCAACACGTGTTGAACTGTTCATTCCCGTCGTGTTCTACAGGTCATTGAATACTACGACTCTCTCGGCTTTCGAAATCCCTCCTGTTTAAAGGTATACCTAATGTCACTCAATGTTGTCTGCAATTTTTTTTTGAAATCCCTCCTGTTTAAGCGGTAATGCCAAAAGTTTAATAATCTACCGTAAGTAAATCCCTCTCTCTTCCCGATCTTTTCCTCTCCTCCCTCCTTTTCCTTATAGTAAACCGTAGTGATTTGGATGTTCTGTTTGTATCGTACACTGCGTGTGCATGTTTGTAGAGGCTGTTGAAGTTTGTGTTGAAGCGGACACGTAAGCGGCTGAAGCACCAGGCAAGGCGGCAGGTTTCCCCGCTCCAGAACTGTCACTGGAGAAAGTGCTATCCAGAGGTATGCAAACTGCTGCAGTACCCATATTTTATCAATCTCTCATTTTAGGGGCTACCGAGACAATCTGGGAGCTATGATTGCGTGTGTTCATGTGCCAGGTATTATATAGATTCACTTGCTCAAAGATTATCTTTTCTCTGATACCACAGTTTGCTCGTTGGCTCTGCTATAATCACGGGAGCTCCTCCCATTCAAAGATCCCGTTCACCCAGTCCCACATGCGCAGACTCAGACACGTCATGAGAATGGAACTGGAGAACGAGAGACTCCGCTCCGACCTCACCCGGCAAATATCTGATCACCCGCTCAATTTTTAATCGCATTTCGGCAAAAAATTTCATACCGCGATAATTAGCGGCCAATGAATTCGCTAATTGGAATGTAAATTGCCCGAAAACGTGCGCGTGCTCAGCTCCGGCTGCATTATAGGGTCTGACCACTGGGGAATAGAGTGCAGTAGGGGACGTGTTACCTTCCGCTGAGAGGTAGTTTTCAGCCCAAGTCATCCCCAGAAACTTCCACAATCTACTGCGAAATCTGTGGAGCATCGTAATTGTACCGCTAGCTAGGTAGCTGTGTGAGAAACTTGCCTGGATCTTTGTTCGGAGATAAAAGGTTGCAGAGCTGCTGGTGCCGATGTGGAAGCTATTCAGTAGAAGGAAGAAGCGGGCGCCCGCGGACGAGTCTGTGGCCGAACTGCGGGACAAGTTCCACTTGGAAACGGTGAGCTGAGCCGAGAGTGAGCAGCTGGAATTAGGCCAAATTATGTGTAGAACTACTGATACCTACCTGTACATAGTTCATAAGATAGCTGTCTGTGGTAGCAATGAAGTTTCATTTCTTGAGGACGGAGCTGAACGTTAAACGCTGCAGGTGGGGCTGAGCCGGTATGTTAGGCTGCAGCAGGACAATGACTCGCTCCTTCGTCGAGGCTTTGTCGCTTCAGGTGTGATTTTAACTTGGGACCAAGATATCTCAGTTTCCTTATCTTGAGATTGGCGAGTATGTATGCAGCAGCTGAATAAACTGCAGCGACGCCTTTCAGAACCACAAAGATACTTTAGCTGTATATAGCTTGAGAGTGTCTAAGGTTGAAATCCTGGGGGGCTTGTAGCTTCTGTAAAAGTCTTGCAGTTTTTGCACATATCTTGTAGAATTCCAGACAGTGTGTCTGTAAGAGATACATGATATGCACAGGCAGGCAAAGCGGCACTGTGCTGTGCATGCAGGCCAGTGCATGCAGTAAATGTGAGTGAGGAGTGTGTAGTGGTCTCGAAAAGTGGCAGTTGTTAATACAGTTGGTCGCTCAAGTTTGTCGTGAGTGCGTGCAACGTGGGGGAGGGAGGGGAAGCGGCCTCTCCTCTGGTAGAGTGTATACCTCACGCCCTGGCACCCCACTACTGGGACTCTAGCCCGGTGTTGCGTCTTTCTCTTTGCCTCCCCTGCAATCCTGTGGCCAGTACAGCCATTGTCGGGGGTTGGCCACAGCTTGTAGCCCACAGTGTTCTCTCTCAGTGTGTACACCCTTGTCTTCCCAGTGAACCCATCCTAGCTAGCACTGTATCTACGTAATACTTGTCTAGACGTGCTTGAGATCAGGGCACCTAGTTGGTGTGTCCGAGTGGTGTTTTCTTGTTCCGATACCATTCACTTTGTTGGATGCTAACACCAGAAGTGTCGTCTGTCGTGCCTACCATACATGTGTGTTTGTCTGTCTGCTTGATGCTGTTTTAGTGGGGTGTTTTGTACACAGTACAATTAGCAGCAGGAGGAAGAGATTAGGAGGTAGGTCACACCTTCTAGTCATTGGCTAGTATTACACGTGCTGTGTATGTGAGGTGTAGTGTGTGTGCATGCAGGGTAGTGTACTGGTAGTATGAGACATGCAGGGTAGGGTACTGGTAGTATGAGACGTGCAGGTAGTGTACTGGTAGTATGAGACATGCAGGGTAGCGTACTGGTAGTATGAGACGTGCAGGGTAATGTACTGGTAGTATGAGACATGCAGGTAGTGTACTGGTAGTATGAGACATGCAGGTAGTGTACTGGTAGTATGAGACATGCAGGGTAGCGTACTGGTAGTATGAGACGTGCAGGGTAATGTACTGGTAGTATGAGACGTGTTTGGAGTGTGTTGGCGTCCACTATGAACATACAGGGACACTTCAAAAGCAGACATTATGGTCACGCTCCTCTAAAACTCTCTGGTTCTTCAATCAATTTATGGACAGTTTATGGACACTTGACTTAATATATACATACAGTAGTGGAGATTTCATCCAATAGAGGTTTTTGGGCATATCTTGCTCCAACTCAGCCTCCTCCATGTGTGATAACTTCATTCAATGGAGTTATTATGGAAACATTGATAAGTAGTTTGAAGTAGTGACACTATACCTAATACAGGTCTCCGTGTATTCTAGCAAGCAGAAAGGGGAGAATGAGTTTGTACTAGTATGAGTTGAAGGGATGAGTTAGTAAATTATGAAGCTGAAGCTTGCTGGCGTGGGCAAGTAAGCCTATAGTAGTAGCTAGTACAGTAGGTGTAGCGTTATTCATGTGTCCCAGAGTCTTTAGTAAGGATGAGCTGGACTGACTGAGCTGGCAGTGTCAGAGTGTCAGTGTGGGTGTGTTTTCCCTCTCTCCCCCTCTTACCACCAGACCACACACATACCAGGCTGACCACAGCCACTCACTGGTATATAGTCTGTCACACTCTGCTGCCCACTGCCATATATACCTCTGGTGGACTTTCCTACTCTTCTTAGAGGGCTTCCCTCTCGCTCGCTGAAATATACCTCTTGCCTCTTGCTGTAATATCATCACCCCGACCTACTCTCCTGCTTGCTACTGGTTGCCTTATCCTACTCTCCTGCTTGCTACTGGTTGCCTTATCCTACTCTCAGTAGTAGTGAATTATCGGAGAACTTGTGTACTTGTAAAAAAATTTTGCGCACCATATTTCCTGAATAAGCAAGTAATCTAAGGCGTGTATATACAGTTTGGTGGGCCATCCAGCAGCTATATCACTGGTGGTGGTAAACTAATTTCTATTCCTAATTGGTCACTAACCACAGCTATGTACACGTGACCTCTGGTGGTATTTCATACCCCAATTAACATGTTTTTTCCATTGAGTGCTAATGTTCCCAACAAGGCTTGCTAAGAGTGTGTGTGGAGGGTGAAAGAAGCTTAGCTGAACGTGAAACTCTAAGTGCATAGCTCTCTACCTGTGCTTGCTCAACATTTGACAGTTATTTCACTAGCCTAGTGAAACATCTCTGCCAACAATACAGGCAGCAGTTGTGTGTATCTTTATTAGGTGCATGCCACTAGCGCAAGACCTACCTATTCATAGAGTAGCACATACTTACACGACTGAAGTTGGGTATTCTTGTTATCTCTTGCTGCTGCAAAGGCTTAGGCTTGGTTAACAATACATCGCATTGTGCCATGCCGCGGCGTAAGGATAGAATCATCGCGGCACAATGTAACTAGCATTTGGAACCTCTGTATACAAGGCTTCATCCCTTCAACTGGAAATCATGAGAGAGCAGCGCAGGCAGTAGAAGATCCCTAAACAGACTTGGAAATGTTTACAAACTGAATCAGTGAATCTCCTGAATTCTGAAATGTTCCCAGACATTTTCTCAAGGGCTGCCTCCTATTCATTGCCATGAATAGCCATCAGCTCTGTGTGAACGTGTGGACTTGTGAATGCAAATGTGCCTCTTTCCCGCCGTACAATTGTCCTAGGAATCTCACTCAGGTGGAGACTCAGCTCACTGGCTGTCCTGACAACTGCTGTCCCGAGACTAAATAAACATGTGTGTGCCGTCGTCATGTTACCGTGACAGCAACCCCTTGTCCTGAAAGGCGTGCTGTCCTGAACGACTGTTGTCCTGAAACATATTAGAGAGGTGTCCTCGAGAGTGTTTAGGGAGGGGTTCCACTGTATCCATAGGAGTATGTGGAGTTTGCGGGCAGAGAAAGGCAAACAGGATTTGTTCACTCTGAGAAACTCTGCTCTGTGGGCTAAACAGATACCTACATGGGAAATGTATACAAGACACCCCCATATATACCCGGCCATGCTGTATATATTCATTCTTGGAACAATAATTATATGATATACTGCCGACTACCAGTGTCATGTATACATACTTGCTTTGTCCGCGGGTGACGTAAATTATATATTGACCTATTGGTGGTTTGAAATATTTGCCTTGATTCACTATAATGAAGCCCCATTGGTTTGTGTTAGACACTTGTGTTGCATTGCCTGGCTCTCTGTGATTGGTCTGTTTTCTGTTGCCCTGCAGCACGGTTACCATGGTTTCCCTCTCGGGCCGTCCAGTATGACATTTGACCCTTATCGGAGACTTCTGTACATCGGAACCAATTCCGGAGAAATCAGAATGTGAGTTTCCGTATTGGATTCTTCGACAACAAATGTATCACCAGATAAAGTTTATTACTGTGCATAGCTCAATTAGCGGGAGAATTTTGAGAGAAAATTCCCAGTTTTGAGTTTTCTCAATTAAGTTTGTCAATGGGAATTGCCTGACAGCGATCCACTCTGTTTTGCTATTCAATTGTAAACATTTTACTCCCTTTAAAGAACGGTGGTATATACCAGTGTGTACCTCGGTTTAGGGAATCTTTATTTCTCTGGATGAACAGCCAGCTCCTGGTTTCAGAATGTTATTACCCAATAATTTGACCCCTCGCTCCTATACACCCATGCACACCTCAAATCACGCCCACCCTAACCACTAGTCCCACGGGACCCTTACATGGTGTGGGACACACAGTGTACCAATGAACTCTCTGTATGTACTACATACAGTAGTACATTATACATATCCGTCCTCGCTTTGTCACTGCATAGATGTCTCATTCTCAGATGGTGAATTCCGTTTTGCATTCTCAGATTGTGAATTTCGTTTTGCACGGGAAGCGGCAGTGAAATTCTGCATTCAGTACAGTTCCACCATTGGGAAAATGACCGTCCATGTACAGTATGAGGGCGGAGTCGTGTATTTCGTGTGTGTCTGTGCCAATGTATGGCGTGTTCGTGACATGTAGTCTGACAAGTGTAGTTGGGTAGTCCATCTCTTGGGAAAACACTAACACTTATGGCCCCACCACTTATAACACTTTCCACTCCCCTACGTACTATATATATGTACATGCATGGAGTGTATACTTGAATTTAAGTATATACACATGTTGGAAAATCTGTGTCGTCCCTATAGCTGTACTTAGTGATAGAATTGCCGCCACCACGTTTTGAAGCAATGAGTATACCTCTATGGTGCTAGGAAGGGGTTTTTTGTCGTACTGCTGTATATAGCTATAACCTTGCTCTATATCTCACCCTGTCCATCTGTCCTACCCTCTGTTCTCTCTCTCTCTCTTCCCTACTCTAACACAGGGTAGGAACTCCTGGAGTAAGGCTAAGTGGCAACCTGGACGACATGGGAAAAATCAACCAGATCCTACCGTTCACCTCTGAGGTTGGCACACATTTGGCATATCTTCGCAGCATGCAAACAGCGACGAGATCACAAGAGCTTACATCAATTTTGTGGTCCCGCCCTAACTAACTACCTCTTAATTGAGCTGAAGTGTTGAGTGAGTTGTGTGTTTTCTGCTGTGTTGTGTGCAGCCTGCTCTGATCACTGTGTGCGGAGGTAACATGATGTACAGATGGTGTCTGGAGCAGGGGGAGAGGCAGGACGCGCCAGAACTGGTTCTCGACCGGTCTTACAAGTTCCAGGGAGGACTGTGAGTGCTCCCTCGTGCGGGGAAATTCGGTTGCTCGTTTGCTCGGGCGGAGAAGATCGTTTTGTTCGTGTCTCAAATTCACACAATATCTCACGATGTATCGAGTTACTCCTACTCTGTTAGTGTCTGTGTTCCCTCACATGCTGTAGTATATCGCATTACACAACCTGCACACTAACTTACTTACTCGTCATAGTAAGGTCACATTAGTTTGTACCCGGGAAGGAGTATTTCATTCAATCAAGACCTAATGAACCACTTTCGTAAAAAAAATTTAAAAATGAGGCCAAGCACTGCAGCAGCATATAGCTGTTTGAAAATCGAAATACGTTTCTCGAAGAGACTAGACGCTAGAAATTATGATTTCAGGTAGTTTAGGAGAGGCATGGGTCAATCTACAATCAAATGATTGAAGAAAATTGGGGGGAGGGGGGAACCATTTTTAGCCTTATGCTCTTCTACGAAGAGGGAACTGACTGTGTATATTCCCTCACCAGTGCGAAGACCATCACGGTGTGTTGTCTTCCTCCTCACTGTGACTGTCTCCTGGTGGGGACCCTGGGAGGAATCACCTATCCATGGACACCCAGTTTGACGGAATGTCCCCCGAGGTCCTCTCGTGGTCCAGAGCAAGAGCCGTCCTGGGCTACAAGGGGAAGGATATCCCCGGGGAAGTGAGGACGCTGGACATCAGCCCCAGGAACCCTAAACAGGTGGGGACTTAATAATGGTTGGAAGTCTTGTCTTTTTGAAAGACGCACTGGCGAAATATTGTAATAGAGATAGGAGAAACAGGAGAGAGAGAGTGTGTGTGGTGTACCAAGTGGGAGGTGTTCCTGATCTAATTGCTGGCTAACTACCGAATGACGCAAAATACATGGAAATGTTACGCTCTACCACCCACACATTGTCAGTATCATACACGTCTGAGAAAATAGAGACCGCCAGTTACTAGATATTGTCCTCCCCCTCCTCCCTCCCTCCCACATCTCTCTCTCTCTCTCTTTCCTCTCCCTCTCTCTCCCTCCACAGCTGTTGATTGGGTATGAACACGGATATTTCGAGTTGTGGGATGCCCTGACATGGAAACCTCTCCTCATCCTGGGCCCATTCCGAGACTCTGGGGACACCCTGGCCGTGGCATGGAATGGGGACGGGGAGCGGTTCGTGTCCTCGCACCAGGACGGGACCATTGCCTACTGGAACCTGGACAGCCCGGAGGGACCAGTCTCAACTCGCAGACTTCACGGTAGGAACACCACAACCCTTTTGGACAAGTATCGTGCGTCTTTGCCATGTAACGAACTCTGCTTCGAGCAATCCCTATACATACATATTTCCCTTCATTTTGAAGAAAAAGAATACTCATATATATATACGTTGTATTTCTGAGGTTTTGTGAAAGTGGTTGAGTTTCTCTATCTTCTCTTTTTCCCTATACACTTACAGACGGAAGGTGCCAAGACATAGTGAGAATCCTCTGGCCAAGGTATGTGTACATACAACTTAGTATATAGGGATGGGCATGGTACCTAGCATCATAGATGTATGGGGCTATGATAGGGAGTTTTGTTCATCTTCTCCTTCTCCTTCTTCTCCTCTTCATACAATAGTTACTCAAATCTTGACACACGCTGGGTTTGTACTGTAGATATGTATTATCTGTGAAATTTGTACGTATGTTGCCTTCTTAAAATTGTTTTCTTCTATATACACCTGTAACTCACCTTTGCGGTGTAAATTTTCAATGTGTGTGTGTGTGTGTGTGTGTGTGTGATATCATTGCTTACTCAAGTGTCTGGTTGCGTTGCAGAGACAATATGCTGGTGATGAGCGGGGGCGCCTCCCTCGACAAGATCGACGGAGACAGCGTGACGGTTGCCGTGGACGACGAACTCTACACGATGCAGCTGACCTCGCCCGTGCGAGGAATGCACGTTCTCGAGGACGTACATACGGACAGGGACTCTGGGATTGTCAACTCTGGATCCGACTGTGTCACTACCACCACCAGTTAGCAGCTCTCTCTCTCTTTCTCTCTGTTTTCTCTTCAGTGATATCCCCAAAATTGCATTCTTATAATATTTCTCTGCTTTAATGTCTTCCTAACTCATTGTATTGTCCAATTCTTTCCTCCCCCGTGCAATAGTGAGAGATATACTTGTACTGCTGTTGGAGCAGGAGATACTGTTCATAGAGCTCAGCCCTCCAGAGTAAGCCCCTACCTCTCTCCATTTCTCCATCTCCCTCCTTTCTTTCTTCATACATCTTTCTTTGAACACTAAAAACTCTTCCCTATCTTACCGTTATTACATGATCTGAAACTTGCAATACACAGCTAAAGGTCATAGTGACGTTCCCCTTCACCTATTACGGAGATCTCTATAGTTAAGACCCAGGTTCCAAGCCTATCGTTTTGAGAAAAAACAGAGCAATAAAGATTATAGTATGATGTTTCACCCCATAAAGACTTAAACTTTCAACACTCCTCCCCTCCTCCCCGTCCTCCCTGCAGATTCCCCCTGGTCCCCCCTCCCTACCTCATCAGTCCCCACAACTCACCAATGAAGCTGGTCACATTGAGCAGTAGAGTGAGCCGCGAGGTGTGGCAGTCCCTCTCTCAGATTGGACGAGTCCAGAGAGAGACTGTATACAGAGCCTCCACAAAGGTCAGAGAGGTCACGTTTGAAATACAGCGGAACTTCGCTAATTTCAGACACCTACGGGACAGGAAAAAGTAGTGAGGTCGGGGTTAAATCACTCGCAAGAAATTGGGGGAAGAAAAGATGTCCTTACTAGAGAGGTGTCCTCATTTCAGGGGTGGTTCCTCACTATATTTAGTAGACGATGTCATTGCGATGTTGCTATATTTATTAGATGATGTCATTGCGATGTTGCTATATTTGTCTAGAAGTGGCCGGTGAATGGAGGTAAGCTGAGGAGCAGAGCTCACGACAGGAGAGATGTTCTCCTCACTGGACACGAGGACGGAACCGTCAAATTCTGGGACATCAGCAATCGTAAGTAGTAAAACAAATTTTCGCAGGAAAAGGTTTTGTGTGAAGATAGTCAGCCAGCAAGAGCGGCACAATTAATGATTTAAAGTTTTTGTTTTCACAGTTTACTTACAGGCACACTGGATTACATTTCATAAATTTTGCTTATTCCCATTGCTTTCACACGACATATGAGAGTGGTAGAGTGTGGCACCATAATATGCCCAGAATTAGGAACTTGGTCATTGCATGTAAACATGTTCCCCTCCCCCTCCCCCTCCCTCCCTCTCCTCCCAGCCAACATGAACCTGCTGTACACGGTCAACTGCTCCATGTTCTTTTCCTCCGAGGACGCCCTCAACACAGACTTCTTCACAGAGGACAGCACAGAGCGCACTGACCCTACCAACATCAAACAGGTCGGCCGACTACACGCTAGCTTTCACTTTCAATTTAGCAAGTTCCTCTCGCTCTACTTTGGTGTGGGCCTTGCTTTTGTCTTAATAAACCGTCTCAGTGCATTGACATTGTACATCTGTGGTTTTTCGTCAAAAAACTTTGCTCTACGAATTAAGTTCAGAGTTTTGATTTTGTAATAGTTGCCCTGCACCATTACATGTGCATTCAGTCAATTTTTATGATTTCCGAATTTTTTTTTTAATAACCTTGATGACTGAGTGTTGTGTTTACCTCTCGCTGGTGAAGATGGGGTTCTGGGACCCGAGAAGTGACGATGACCAGTTGACAGTCACCAGTCTGGACTTCCAGGAGGAGCTGTTGGCCGTCGGTCTCCACGGAGGAGCCACCCTCATCTTCAGTCTCAGCTCCCAGTCCTCCGTCATCGACATGAAGGTACAATTCACAGTGTCGTGGGCATTAATTAAGGTACCACAACATTGCCATCTTAAAGTGCCTCACTGTTTAGTATACTGTATGTATATATAAAGACCAGTTTCACCTCCTCAGTGTTGTGTTCTTAACATTCCTCTTGATTTATTTCAACAACCGGAACGTCCGTGAAAATTATAAGATACTTGGTTTTTTTACTCAGCTCAACCCATATTTTCACTACTTGTTTTCCGTATCATGCTCTGTTCATCCCCACTCATTAACTCTGTGATTACTCATAACTTTAACTCTCTCACCTCTCCCCTCCCCTTCCCACGTACAGCTGGTGAGGGTGTCGATCATGCGGGACGATCCCCGCCAGAGAAGTCGGAACTGGCAGGCTCCGCTCACCCTCCGGACAGGAGGGGTGGAGTGTCCCCCGGGCTACCATCCCTCTCACTGCATCCACCTCTTCCCCAATGTCTCCACCACCACTCTCGCCATCGCCAAGGACCAGAGGCTGTGAGTTGTCACTGATCACCACCCCCTCTAACTGTTGTCTACTGTTGCAGTGAAGACATTATAGTACCTGATAAATGAAATAATATAGTTTCCACCAAATAAGGGAGACTCTGAATAAAAGCTACTTCCAAAGTCCGAAAGGTGTCATCTGCAGAGCCTGAATATCTGTGTCATCCATTTTTACGCGTTTCATGATTTTATGCATGTGTAGTGTGGAAGTGATGCTAAAAACTGCTACAGTATAGCTTGGTATTACAACCTGTTGAGGCGTAATATTGACTACTAAATCAACCTTTCTTTACACTAAGTTACTCTATCTAGATTTTAGTGAAATTTTCATTGCTTTTTCTCTCGGAAATCTCTCTAGGATTGCAGTTGGGTGTGTGTATGGGTTCACGGTGGTGGACTTCCTGAAGGGAGACATTATTCACATCCAGTCTACCTTCGACAGCTCCAGCCCAGACCCCACGCAGATGTCCCGCATGCAGAGCATTCGGCGCTCATTTCGACAGTCTCTGAAGAGACTCAACGTCCGACACAGCATGCGCGGAGCTCAGAGTACACAGCGCTCGTATCGTCCGTCGAACTTTGTCCGTTCAGGCAGCGCTCGGCCGTCTGTCGCCAAGTCCCGACGTGGCGGTGGGGGTGGAGCTGGGACGATGACTCCGCCCCCCAAACGAGACTTCGTTAAGACGATGGCCTTCACAGCTCCCTGTCATCTTGCAGGTGTGTATATATGTGTATTGTCAACAATTTTACAGGGAGTTGCGTAACTGCACAAGCTTCGGTTCACTACTATACTGCCCCTTACTGTGTGTTCTAACTTGCAAGATTTGTTATGGTGTCTTTGTTGGGCAAAATCCCAAATGAAGACTTGCCCGTACCGGTGCACCCCATTGTATATGCCAAATGCAAGTTTAAACACATTATGGGTGCACCTTCCCTTTCCCCTCTCCCCACAGGTCATTCCTCATGGTATGGTCTTCTGGTGGGCACAAATTGCGGACGACTGCTGACGTACACCATTGATATGCCCGCACCGAAACACAGAGAAGCCCGCTCTCCAATTGTCATGCCCGTAGGTAGGTACAGATCATGTGACCATCACATGCAAGTCATGTGACTCTACACCCTCAAAAACACTTTCATTTCATAGAGAGTTCTCGTCATAGTACACCATTTTTTCCTTCAATCTTGTTTTTTTCAGAGCACAACTTCAACGTGAAGAAGGACGAGACTGTGTTATTTGCTGGAGTGATCGACGCTCAGAGCTACCTACTGGACGTTAATGATGAGGGGAGTTTCAGATCGGCCCGGGGTACCCAGTACCTCACTGTGTGTACCGAGGAGGGGATCAAGGTGGGTGGATCATGTGACCGTCACGTGACAGTCATGTGATTCGTGTGTGGTTCCACTAGGTCGTGAGTTTGCCGAATGCAAAGAAGAAGTTCAAAGTTCACCTGAAGCAGAGCGAGGAGGACGAGTATCACATTGTCTCAGCTCACTACATCAGAGTGGCAGGTACGTACTTCAGTGTATGTCTGCTATACAGTGGAACTCCTCAAATCCGGACATCAGAAAAGGGACAGAAGAAAGTGTCCACGGTCCTTATTGTAGTTTCCTTGTGGGGAGAAAATGTGGAGAAACGTTTTCTTTTGTTTATTCATTATACGTATACGTCAGCAGTCACCCCCTCCCCCCACACACACACAGCCCAGTCGGCTCTACTCATCATGGACAGCGAGGGCTACATATCAGTCTACACCCTCCCAGACCTCAAACTCATCTGCAGGGATGACTGCGTGGACGCAACGGACGCCGTCGGCCAGAGAAACTTTGCCTGTAGCTCAGTCGGAGTGATTCTTCACCAGCGCTCTCCCTCCGAGTTTGCTCGCGAGTCCCTCACAGAGGAGGGGAGGCTGGAGGTCGGATTTTCGGTTCCCCTGAAGACGGTGACCCCCCTCGTGTTGACCCCCCAGACTCCCAAACATGAGCTGGTGGACCAGCTACCCACACCTCTTGACATCAAGGTATCTACAGCATTCCTTTAACTAATATGGGGGACTTACGTCTTGTACATGTGATATTCTCACACTGTGTTGTGAATGATCGAGAGTTCTATGTATAATTGATGTGCCCTAAATGATTGAGGTTTTTCCATGAAGATGTCCTGATTTACTCACTGCACAGATGGCTCTAAAGGGAGTGGAGCGAGCCGAGAGTGACAGCGAAGACGAGGAGGGACGTGGTCACCACAGCAACGGGGGTTGCCATGACTCCCCAAGACCCTCTGAGTCCAGCCAGTGTCAAGGAGTTCCGGGAGAGGGCTCTCTAATTAGAACACAAATCTCACGACAAATCAATGCTTCTCTGATTGACTTTCCCGGTGGAATGCAATGCACCATTTTTATAAATTTTTTACTTCATCACAGACTGTTGTTATAATTTCCTCGTTCTTTATATTTTTCACACAAATATTGACACCAAAAATTTCACACTGTCCAAAATATTCAAGGAAGGGGAGAACATCGTTTTTGTTCAGTAAGGGTAGCTAGCGTCTGTTGCGATTCCACAGTTGTTGTTCCTATTACGTGCCATGAGGATGTAGCCTTGCATTCCCCAACTGGATCCTATAAAATTGAAGGAGTATACCAATGTCATGTGTCACATCATGTGGAAAATCAAATGGTACACGCAACATTGATGTTTATGCCATATCCAATGCATTTAGGTGATTGCATGTGTAAGGTGATTAAGCAAATGTTTGTGCATCATCATGTTGTGTGCTCACACCCAGCTGTTCTGACAGATCCAATATTCCACTCCGTCCTCCGTAGCTCCGTAACCCACCACTAGAACGGCGTGGTCAAGCTCCACAGACGAACAGTCAGGCTCGTAATAGACGCCCCCCTCATAGAGCTGAAATGACTCGTGGCTAGCGTCGATTGCGGCTACCACTGGCTGCATTGCCACTGCATATTCGAGCGCCGTTTCGTTTCTGTACGGAGTTACCGATTTCCCTCCTTCGATCTTTAGTTCGCTCTTGAACGTGTCATTCAGACACTTGTGATCGGGTGAGACGTAGACGCTCTGCAGAGCCAACCCGCCGATCTTCACGATGCAGTCATAGCTCCCCACGCCGTAGACACCGCCGTCGCACGGGCCGTCTTCGCAACAGTCAACGTATTCCTCCACACTGCCGAGCTCCAGTGTACCCGTCTGGATAGCGTGGAGAGAGTCTACCGCGTGCACGACCTGGAAAGGGATGGGGCCGCCGCACTGTCCCTGGTTTTTGACCGGCGGTACCACTCCCTTGGTCCGCCAGTCCACAGATTTCGGCGGAGGGTCCCTACCGCCGCGATCGGGAACGGGACGAAATTCCGCTGGCGAGGAGTTGCGTTTCCACTGGCGGAGATGACTCTTAGAAAACTCTTCCAGACTCTAAGAAAAGCATAAACAACTGCATCTATAAGTGCTTTGGACAACTAAACTACGGTTCCTTACTCACCAGCTGTGCAAAACGATTCAGAGAGACGGAATAAGGCAGTCCCAGTCGGTTCCGCTTCTCTACGAACTCGGCATTCTCCCTCCAGGTCGGGTAGATGCGCGCGAGGTATTCCTCGCTTTCCGACTCACAGAACTCGGCGCACCATCTCTTGAATGATTCGTCCTGGGTATAGTCCAGCTGAGAAGCTTCTGTTTCACTCTCAATACAGCTAATGCCGAGGGAAAACAGGAAAATCGCGAGCCACTGCATGGTGTCACCTCGCTCTCTCTCCGGCGAGCTTTTTACACAGCGAAAGGCGCGGCGCGCATGCGCAGTTAGTCACGTGCCGGATAATCACGTGATATCAACGTTTCGAACGTTTGTTAAGTATAAATTTACTCTATACGATGACGTCAAACGAGATCGATCATGAATAAAGTTTTTGTGGGCAGTTGAACGGAGTGCTGTTTTGATAGGTTCACTAGTTTTGAAACCTTTTTCGGATTCCTGGGGCGGAGTGACGGGGTTATGGAAGGCAGTCAGAGCGTGGTAGGGACGGAGAGTGTTGTGTTTCAGAACGAGACGCCGTGGAACGCCACGATACCCGCCATGAGCGAGGGCCTGAGTCACCAGTTCATCTACAGCATCTACGCCCAGATAGTGTCCGGTTTCTTCGTCTGGATAGCCTTCATACTCACATGTCTTCAAGTGCGTTCATCTTTTTACGTTTCCCATTACTGTACTGTCCAAGTTGGCCCTTGGCACATGCTCTATAGCACAGACCCGAATCACTGTTTTTTAGAGATAATGGCACTCTTGTGGACAAGCTCTGTCAGTCAGACAACTCCATCTCTCTCTCTCTCTCTCTCTCATACACACACAGATATTTCAACATCTCCGCTACTACACTGTACCTGAGCAGCAACTCTGGATTGTCAGAATCCTCTTCATCGTCCCGATATACGGCGTGTGCTCGTGGGTGGGGCTAATCTGGCCAGGCTACTCCGTCTATTTCGACTCAATCCGAAGCTGCTACGAGGCGTTTGTCATCTACAACTTTCTGCGGCTATGTCTGGCGTATCTTGGTGGGGAGGCGTCAGTTCTGAGTGACATCAACGGCCAACCAATACAGTGAGCCCACTCAAAACCACTCCCTTCTACACATGTACTTTCATCACGAATGCCTACTATTATACAGAGCCTATATAGGCCTTCCTGTTGGTGTGTGCATGTTGTGAATACAGAAAGTCATCCATCGCCTATGGATAGTCTGTACATACTGAAATGTGAAGGTTCCATGGTAATCCTGACATGTATTGTGATTGTGTCTGTCTGTGTGGTTGCAGGAGGAGTTGTGTGGCAGGGACTTGCTGTTTCCCGCAAACGACCTACTCCATCCGATTCCTTCGTTTCTGCAAGCAGGTATTTTGTGTGCGTATATCATGCCCTCTTTGTTTTTTATGTGTATAGCCGCGCGTGGTTGTATGGTGTTTCAACTCTCCTCTCTGTCTTCTCAGGCCACTCTCCAGTTCTGTGTGGTGAAGCCTGTGGTTGCGGGACTCACAATCATCATGGAAGCTGTCGATGTATACAGAGAAGGCCACCTCAGGTATGTATGTACTTGCATACGGTAGTGGCGAATGAACTGGGCCTAGCTAGTTGTCTGAATGTACCGTTTTTCCTTCTGTGTGTTGAAGCCTATCTTTGGTCCTATTAAAATTCTAATTGTCTTGTCTGACTCCTAGGCCTGTTCCCTTATCTTTCTCGACTTTAGTTTGATAAACCCTGATTTATAGAAAGACCTACACTAGGATCCCTTATTCACGTCGATTTCTGAAGCCAAAGGCTATTCAAGTACATAGTTTTTACAAGTAGCGTCTCTCCCTCTTTCTCGTTCAGTCCAACTGCAGGTTACTTCTACTGCTCCATTGTGAACAACATATCAGTGACTATTGCCCTCTACGGCCTGTATCTCTTCTACTCCGCCACAAAACCTCTCCTCTCTCCCTTCCGACCTTTCCTCAAGTTTATCTCTGTCAAGGCCATCATCTTCCTCTCCTTCTGGCAAGGTTCGTACTATTACCATTGACTTTGAGAGGAATACTGAGAGGAATACTGAGAGGAATACTAGTTATTGGTCCTGGGGAGTAGCAGCAAAACATGTGCCAACAAGAAATCCAAGGAATACCCATCCCACAATGCAAGTGTCCCCGCTCACAAAATTTCGCATTGTAACAGATGTTTCACAAACCGTACTATTTGGTGTATTTATGGAAGTGTTGTCCCTTGGAAGTCTATACCCTGCTGTGTGGCATTAACTACACTATAATATCATTAATTCCCCTCTAAATTGACCCTTTATAAATATTTCTCACTGAACCACACACGACACAGGTTTTCTCCTGACAGTACTGTACTGGTCGCCCATTCTCAACGACCCCAACATCTCGGCTGCCTACCAGAACTTTCTCATCACCATCGAGATGCTGTTTGCTGCCATCCTCCTGCGGTTTGCGTTCCCCTACGGGCTCTACATGGACATGAGGAAGGACGGGATGGGGCGAGGGGTGCCAGTCAAGAAGTCGCCGACAACTTTAGAAATACTCTGAATCCAGGTGAGTGCATAACCAGTGCTCACAATCTCTCATTTGCATATACTACTGTACTGGAGGCTTTCACGAATTTTATAGTTTATGCACTGTCTCACTCGGTGAAATATTTCCCTGCAAAAGGTTAGTCAAAATCATATCCAACTTAAATACCCACTCCCTTGCTACGTAGAATATCTACAAAGGGTAGTGTGTAGATTGTATATGGACTTAGGTGTGTAGTAATAAAGTGCAGAAAGAATGCAATCACTGTGTTTTATCCCTTGACTCTATCTCTCTCCCTCTCCACCTGTATGTACGTAGGTGACATAGTGGACGACGCAATCTACAACTTCTCCCGGGTGTACCAGCAGTACGCCTTGCAGGGAGACGCCAGCGAGGACGAGAGAGAGATGGCCGAGAAGAGAGCCAGTCTCTCTCCGTCAGACGAAGATCTGGCGGCGGCGTCATCGAGTAGCTCCAAGAAAAGAGGTTCTCCCAAAGAGAAAAAGAACGGGTTCGAGAAAGTCAACCTTCTTGTTGGGTCAGACGAAGAAGAGATATTTTGAAATCTGGTGCAACTTTTTTGACTCCCTCTACGCATGTATTGGACTCCCACGTCACTGTCCTCTTATTATACCACTTCTTTGAAACCCTCTTTGATGTCTATCTTCTGGTCAATTCACTTTTCCTTATAGATTGTATTGCATCATTGCATACACATGTAAAAAATCCACAAAAATAATTAATTATTAATCTGAAGCTGTGGACACAAATGCAATCGTTTTGATGAATTAATAGCTTGATTAAAAAAATTGAGCACTCCACAAAAAATGTTTTCTCACTCTGGACACTAATGGATTAAAAATAGCACAACAAAAAAGGTTGCCTGAAGATGGTGGGCATTAGGATGATGGCACATGCTCAACACAACCGTACACGTAGTCAATATTCCAACCGGTAGTATCTCTCACTGTCAACTTCCCCTCGAGTCCGATTTTGATACTTTCTTGAAAATACTATGTAGGGAATGAACGTGGCGATCCCCACGACCATAAACACGAGGTAGTACCAGAACCCGCAGCTAAGACGAGTACCACTGGAGGGAGTATGAGAACCCAAAGAGGACAATGGCAGATAGAGTGGAGAAGATGCCTTCCACCCAGAAGAACAGCCCGATCATCATACCTCTCATACTGTGCGGAGACTGTGCTGCATACACAAACTCCAGTGCTTAAAAAAACAGCAGATTAAAAAAACATTAATTATGAGGCCCTATAAGTGTGCATGAGGTTTAAACTTTGTACTATACTGTAGTAGCTACTGACCTGTTACTTTCAGGAAAATTTCCGCGATGCTAGCCATAATTACAGGCACGAGTATCAGATAGGCCGAGAGGGGCATAACGGAATGGTCCTCGTGGTGAGTACATTTGTGCTCTTTGGCATTAGCCGTAGCAAACATGCAGTTTGCGGCAGAATCACCTTGCTGATCATTGATATGACCGACAATTTCAAGAAGGCAGAGGACCCCAACGGAGCATATTAGTAGAACGTAACTCATTCCGAATCGCTTGAGCATGTTTGGTGCAAACTGCCGCAGAATCGGGTAGATAAACTGGTCTATGATTGGGATGGCAACAAGTATTGTCCAGACGTTGAACGCCCATTCGTTCAATGTGAACGAGCAGTGGTTTGACATGTGCCGAAACTGGATGGACATTACTTCTAAAATCTGTGGGAAATATATAAGGGGTATACATATTATATGCAGTATTCAGAATCATCTCACCCCTGTATAGACAGTCAGTGCACCACCGATTGAAAAGAGGAGCAGTAAGAGTCTCAGAAATGTCTTCACGTCTTCAACTTCCTCGGAGTGAAACTTCCCGCCGTGTTGCCTCTTTGCCAGGTCCAGTCTCTGAGGTCGGCTGGCTTCTCCGGTGAAGCTGAAAGCGCTCCTCGCCTGAGGTCTCTCGGCTCTGAATGCACAGCGGAGAATGTTCCAAATGAGTTTGGGTGAGTTTTGACGCTCTTGGTCGTCGCTCAGCCAATTTTCACAGATGAAACTCAGCGAGAGTGCAAGTGTGAGTGCAGCAGCAATGGAGAGGGAAAAGAGTGCTGTGTGTGTTGTGCTACCATGTACAAGGAAGGAAAGGATGTAAGCTAAAGCTCCCAGATTTCGGCCCCAGTAGTACCAGTAAAAGTAAGAGCTCAGTTCTTCCGATGTCTTGTAGAGCAGTGCGTCAGCACCAAATGGTATCAGATTGACTTCAACTCCAGAGGAGCCTACAGCTATTAGAACGAATAAAAGATACAGTGGGATGCTCTTTGGGCCAGTAACAGGCGGGGAGCCGAAAATATGGTGAACATCAGAGCCACACCACCGTGTCCGACCCACAGCAACCCCAGACACCACTTGGCCGTGCGGAATCTCCCCAGCCAAGCGAAGCCCACCCATCCAGCAAATGGGTACATCAACGGTGTAACCACGCTGAGTATCACTGTGTGCACGAGCGACGCCGTACTAGGGGAAGGGGATGCACCTCGTTACGCAGAGAGCGAAGAATGTACGTCGATAGGAGCCCGAGGCCTCCGAAGTAGGCGAAGCGCTCCAGCGACTGGATGGCAAGAATTATGAAGACGGCGCGTCCGGAGAGCTGGCGGCGACTACGGGAGCTGCAGAAACTGCTGCAACCGACAGAAAGACTCTTTATTCTGTAGCCCGCGGTGAACTGATCCCTGCGAATCCGGTGTTGTTGCTCCGACTTGACCGATGACGGTAAGATCGCCTTGGACTGAACTTCTCGTCTAGCTGTTCCCCAGCTATCACTGGAACCACCGTCAACGCTTGCCATGCTCGTTTCTAGGTTTACTCAAAATTCGGGTGAAACATCTGGCCGCTGATCGTTATCTCCTCTGCGCATGTCTACGTACGCCCATAAAAGCGCAGTCTATTAGCCTTAGGTCGGAGCGAGATGGCTGGTATTGAGAAACTGTCTCTAGCGGAACACAGCGACGAGGTGTCGACCTACGGCTCCACACTGACCTACACCAGCTCGGGATCCAGGTCCAGGTCATGGCGGCAGCAGCAGCGGTGGACGAGACACTCGCGCACCCGCAGGACCGACGCCAGAAGACGCAAGCAGCGGCTCCGTGGTTTCCTCGGATGGTTTCCACGATGTCTCCAGCCGTGTCTCAGCAGCTAGACGAGCTGTTCCCTGTCCAAGGTTTCCCGGTTGCAAGGTGATGTGCTCTCAACGCATCCCGAGGGGCCGGAGGTTCTTCCTGATTCTGGTGATGTTGGTGATAGAGAGGTACGTCCTCTATGGAGCCATAGACGAGGTCCTAGACCTCATCCCCGAGCTGGACAAGGATGCCGACATGACTGGCCTAGGAACGTTTCTCCGCGTGTTTCTCTTCTACTGCGTCAGTCGCATCTTCTATCCAGTCGGAGGGTTCATTGCGGACGTGTACATGGGCCGGTGTCGGGTCATCCATATGAGCCTGTGGTTCTACTGGATCGCATTTGCCCTCCTTACCGTTGCACATATTCTGCAAGGATTGCACAATGAACTACACAATGCCTCTGTCCTATATACACACATCTTACCAATCGCTGCGTATGTCTTCATGATACTAGCGGCTGGTGGGTTTGAACCCACACTCATTCCGTTCGGAGCTGATCAACTGGAAGCTGCTGGCTCCAACGAACTCAGCTCCTACTTCTACTGGTACTACTTTGCTATTCAACTTGGACCTCTCCTAAATATATTTGTCAACTCTGGTCTTTCGGTGTTGCTCCCAGCACAGACAGCAGATACGATGCAAGTCCTGGCTACCATCATTGTCACGACCTGTGGCCTAGTGCTGCATAAGACTCTAGAGCACTGGTACTTCAAGAATATCCTACGAGAGAACTGCATCAAGCTGGTGGCAAAGGTGCTGTGGTATGCGGCCAGAGTCAAGAGAAGAATGCCGCAGTACCGGAGAGCTTTTCGCTACGGAGAGGGAAAAATCAAGCGAATCGATCTAGCCAAGAGAAGATACGACGGAATATTTTCAGGAGATCAAGTGGAGGACGTCAAGACCTTTTGTCTCCTGTGTTTGATTATTTTCTGTCTCTGCGGCTACTTCTTTTCTCAGTCGGGGTGAGTAAGAAAAAAGTTCTATGTATAAAACTGACTATTTTCTGCAGGTAGTTGTGATGATGTCATTCCGAGTCAATGCCACAATCTTCACGGCGACAGCTAACAGCTCGAATGTTGCATTTCTTCAAAGCCTCTCTCCAAACATGTTCATAATAGTGAACAGTATTACCGGACTGCTGTTTGTTCCTCTTGTGAACCACATCTTCATTCCCTGTTTTCCCCACATCTCCATGAGGGGAAGAATGGGTATTGGAATCTTCATCAATACTCTGGCAGTGGTTTCTGCAGGGTGCATTGAGAATAGTGTTCACAATTCAGTGATGGAGCCTCTTCACGTATTGCTGCTGTATATTGTTCCCGCTGTACTCGTCACACTTCCAGAAACACTCACTACAATGTCAGGTATCTTACTATAATAGTAAAAACAATCTATGATTGGAGTATTGTGGACGTATAACCTACTCTATGTTTCTTTGCAGCTTTAGAGTTTGTGTATGCTCAGTCTCCGGAGAGCATGAAAGGGATGCTGACGGGCCTCTTCTATTTCATCTACAGCATATTCAATGGTGGATCTTCGATTCTCTTCTACCTCTTTCTTCAGCATAGGTGGAAGAACCCAAACTATGCCATTTTCTATTGGATGCTGCTAGCGATGGCTGTGTTTGGACTAGTTATTTACACCATTGCTGCCTGTCTCTATGTGAATCGCAGGAGACCGACTTCCGAGACAGAAGAAGCAGAAGAAACGGGACTTTTCTACAACAATATTTCAATGCCATGATTATAGAGTATTTTTGCTGAACACTCCACAATGCAAACAGGATCAGCATGCGCACTCGACTCTGCACAGGTCACGAGATACGCCCATAAAAAGCTGAAGATGGCGTCGCTGCTGCCGCCTGTGGCCGAGAACAGCGGGCAGCAGGCCTCGAGCTACGGCTCCACACTGACCTACACCAGCTCGGGATCCAGGCCCAGGTCATGCAGGCAGCAGCAGCGGTGGACGAGATACTCGCACACAGACTGGAGCGACCCGGCCAGTCCTGGTATCAATGTCTCGGAAGATGACGACAGTGCGGGCCCGGTCGTTTCCTCGACTTCGGATGGTTTCCACGATGTCTCCAGCAGAAGTAGCCGTGTATCGGCAGGTAGGCGAGCCGTCCCCTGTCCAAGGTTTCCCGGTTGCAAGGTGATGTGTTCTCAACGCGTCCCGAGGGGCCGGAGGTTCTTCCTGATTCTGGTGATGTTGGTGATAGAGAGGTACGTCCTCTACGGAGCCATAGACGACCTCATCCCCAACATGTACTGGCCTAAAAGGAATGTTTCTCCGCGTGTTTCTCTTCTACTGCGTCAGTCGCATATTCTACCCAGTCGGAGGGTTCATTGCGGATGTGTACATGGGCCGGTGTCGGGTCATCCATATGAGCCTGTGGTTCTACTGGATCGCATTTGCCCTCCTTACCGTCGCACATATTCTGCAAGGATTTCTACACAAAGCCTGTGTGTACATCTTACCAATCGCTGCCTACGTCTTCATTATACTAGCGGCTGGTGGGTTCGAACCCACACTCATTCCGTTTGGAGCTGATCAACTGGAAGCTGCTGGTTCCAACGAACTCAGCTCCTACTTCTACTGGTACTACTTTTCAATACAGATCGGAACTCTCCTCAATATATTTGTCGACTCTGGTCTGTCGCTGTTGTTCCCAGCACAGACAGATACGATGCAAATCCTGGCTACCATCATTGTCACGACCTGTGGCCTCGTGCTGCACATGACTCTAGAGCACTGGTACTTCAAGAATATCGTACGAGAGAACTGCATCAAGCTGGTGGCAAAGGTGCTGTGGTATGCGGCCAGAGTCAAGAGAAGAATGCCGCAGTACCGGAGAGCTTTTCGCTACGGAGAGGGAAAAATCAAGCGGATTGATTTAGCCAAGAGAAGATACGACGGGATTTTCACAGGAAATCAAGTGGAGGACGTCAAGACCTTTTGTCGCCTGTGTTTGATTATTTTCTGCCTCTGTGGCTACTTCTTTTCTCAGTCGGGGGTGAGTAAGAAAAAAGTTCTATGTATAAAACTGACTATTTTCTGCAGGTAGTTGTGATGATGTCATTCCGAGTCAATGCCACAATCTTCACGGCGACAGCTAACAGCTCGAATGTTGCATTTCTTCAAAGCCTCTCTCCAAACATGTTCATAATAGTGAACAGTATTACCGGACTGCTGTTTGTTCCTCTTGTGAACCACATCTTCATTCCTTGTCTTCCCTGCGTCTCCATCAAAGCAAGAATGGCTATTGGGATGATTGTCAATGCCGTTGCTATACTTTCTGCAGGCTCCATCGAGTTCAGTCTCCACAGTGGCACCATGTCAGAGCCCGTTCATACACTGCTGCTGTTCATAATACCAACTGTGCTCATCACACTCCCTGAAACACTTACATACACATCAGGTACATCATATGTTACGCCCAATTGAACACTTACTGTAACCACCATTGCAAAAATTGTGGACTATAACCTAGCTATATACTCTACGCTTCTTTTGCAGCCCTGGAGTTTATTTACGCCCAATCTCCAGAGAGCATGAAAGGGATGCTGACAGGCCTCTTCTACTTCACACTTGGCATCTTCAGTGGTGGATCTACAGTTCTCTTCTACCTCTACCTCAGACCCAGTAGCAACACCTGGAACTATGCCAACTACTACTGGATCCTGCTGGCGTTTTCTGTCATGGGACTAGTTGCCTACGTCATTGCTGCCACTTTCTATGTAAATCGGAGGAGACCATCAACAGAGTCGGAGGAAGTAGAGGAAAGGAGACTTTTCTATAACAACATCTCGATGCCTTAGCTCCCATTGTGTGTGTGGTGTGCCAATAATTCAGTGTGTGTAACTCCATAGCCCATTCTCATTAATCAAGTGTGGAATATCATTATATATACACCATTAACTTCAAAGACTGTTATATTATAGTGCCAATTTAATTCTCCAATCTCCCATGATAATGATTCTAATGAGGCAGCATTATGGCCTATAATACCTATCATAACAACACTTTCAAGACTGAGCGTGCTCGTTTATGAAGTCTCCTCCTCTGGCTAGTAATCTCAACACCGTCTTCAACACTCTGACCAAGGATATCCTGGGCCCTGACTATTGCCATCTCTCTCTGGTTTCCCTTTAGCTGTTCGAGATACCGCAGCAACACCTTGAACTCTGCCTTGGGGACCTAAAAACATAAAGAAAATCCATTTGCTTTAGCTTGGAGTGACTACTGTAAAACCGGAAACATTGGCGCTCCATTAAATTTAGGGAATTTGGCATTCAAAAATATGTCGCTAAAATTAATGGTCCGCCAAATATTTTTCTATAAGAGGTCAAAGTTAACCACCACTTACAAAACGCTAATATTAATGGCCGCCAATATGTGGAGTCTGAGTAAAACGCTAAATATAATGGCCGCCAATATTTCAGGTTTTACAGTACATGTACACATGGATTAGTCAGGTGGGACAGAATCAGTATTGATGACAAAATGTGTTCTGTGTTGCGTTTAATCCAAAGACTGACCTTGTGTCTGTCGTATGCATTCTGCAGTAGCCAGTACTGGATCTTCTTCCTGAAGGTCCAGCCACTGCTACCACTGTCCCAACTGGTGAGGTACTCCAGGGCCCTCTCTTTCTCTGTGGCTCCTCCATTACTCACAGAAGGCTCTTCTTTCGTCGTTTGTCGCTTCTTTTTTCGTTTCTTTCTTTTCCGCTTCACTTTACCTGAAGTCTCCTCCGATTCAGTGTTGTTTTCTAGTCTCTTTGCTCCTGGTGTGCTGGGAGTTTCATCATCCACACTCTCTCTGCAGAATCCAGTCTCTTTCTCTTTCCTCTAGTTCTTCCATTGGTCTCAGCATTGGTTCTATTATTCTCCTGGTCACTCTTATTAGAGTCTGGTTCCACACTGGTTCTTGGTTGTTTAGGTCTCTTTCTGATTTTGGTAGTCTGTGGAGGTATGAAAATGCCAAGTTGGATATTGACAGGGTCATCCCCCGCCTCTTCTCTCTGAGTGTGTGGACTGCTAGCCATGTCTCTAGTCTTGGCTTGGTTTCAGTCGCTCCCTCAGCTCAAGACTGAGAAATATCCGGAGACTTGGATCCTGGATTGTTTCTAGAACCTTCTCCGCCGCTCGCCCACCGTCCCTGTATATCTCTGCCAGCTCCTCGGCGTACACGACCCAGACGCAGTTGGCACAGCCGCTCATGCAGCAGTCCGTGGGCGGAGGCGGCAGTTCGATATCGGAATCGTCGGCTCCACTCGACCCTGGTGAGCTACTGCTGCCTCTAACTAGGTGGAGGAAAGAGGGAGCACAAAGATGGGTCGGAGTTCTTCGGAAGAGGCGACGGACGGCAGCGCTGGCGGACGACAAGAAACGAAGGCTCATCAGTACCAGTGCGCACTAATTAGAACCACAACGCCACCGCCGAACTTTGAACCGGCACACGTGGGCAGCGGTTGCACTTTGCACCGTAAGGATAGAGATGGGTAGAGTAAGCAAACACAGGAGAATAAAGTCCCACGACCCTTTTTACCGGGGGCCAAGAAGAGATAAAAGGTAACTTGTCCTCAAATGAGGAGTAGGTCCTGTTATATTGCCTGTGTTTCTCTCGCTAGAGGTATGGTTGACCTCTGCCCTGTGAATGACGATCAACCAGTGCCAAAGAGTCTTGTCCGTCTTATGAAGAGAGCCGAGAGCATCAAAACCCTCAACAATAAGGAGAAGAGCAGAGAAGAGATGCAAGAAAGTAGAGGTTCTGGAGGAGAGAGTGCAGCGACAAGACAGAAACCCGTGGCCGTGGGGAAGAGGAAAGAGGGGAGGGGGAGGGACGCTAGAGAGGAGCCCATGTTCTCAAAGAGGAAGGGAGAGAGCCTCAAGAGCTATCTGGAGAGGGTGGATGTGGAGGCCAATGCCAGGATCATGGAGACTTTCAGAAAGAACAGGAAACCCAGCGAGAGGAGAAAGAAGTTAGACTTATTTAATAGCTCTCTTGATTGTGTTGTGTGATTGAATAAGACTTGTTAGCCCCTTGATTTGGTAATAAACTCCCTTGATTTTGTTGCATGATTGACTAGCTCCCTTTGTGATTGTGATTGGATGTCCGTCTCTTTGTGGTGTGTTATGTAGAAGGCTAGAGGAGAGACGGAAGAGAGCAGTGGCCAGGAGACAGGGTCTGAGTCATGACAGAAACAGAGATATGGAGGAGAAAAGAGGTACACATTATATATTCCACCCCGGCCTTATATACACACCACACACCAGGACTGCTTCAACTCTTAGTCCACAATGCATTGATTTTGAAGATGAGGTGAGGTTTGGGGAAGTGGTGCAGGCTCCACCTGAGCTGAAGGCCAAGCCCAGAGGCTCCCAGCGGAGCTCTGCCTTCCCCTCACAACCACTGCTACTGGAACAGAAGATGTCTGCGTCGCAAAGACAGTCGCAGAGGACAAGATCAGCTCCAAGCCAACAAATCATGGGACTAAAAAGAAAACATGACTTGAAACTAGAGAGGGAGCATGTCATTAGTGTCTATAGGAAAGCAAAAGCAGCTGCACTAGTAAAGCGAATTTAGAATGTTGACAAATGTTTTATAAAAACTTTCACTTTCCCTAAAGGAACCTTAGATTCCCTAGTGTTCCGAAGAAAACAGTCCCTAAAGGCTGGAGTGTTGGTCAGTTTTCTTTGACTATAGCACAGTGTTGCAGTTGAGAGAGTGGGCAGCACTGTGCTAGGTCACTTATATACTCAGTGGTTGATAGAGTAGGGAGGAATGGCAGCACTGGCCAAGCAGGAGATAACCGATGGTGTGTCTAGCTCCAGTAGGACAAGATCTGCTTCTTCCAGTAAGAGTTTCAACAGCTGGGGCAGTAGATCGAGGAAACCTCGAGACTCCCTGGAGAAGATAAGGGAGAGGGCCAGACCTTCCCAATTGACAGTGACCAGAGACCTACTGGCAGTTCCGGAGCTCTCAGTGCAACTGGTAGGCAAGGGACAGGGGCTAGTGATCGAGGAGGAAGGAGAAGAAGAGATGCAAAACCTACCACTCGATTTGCCCCACCACACCATCAGCCGTAATGCAGTCAGCGAGAGATACCCAAGGGGAAAAGCTTCCGCTCTTGTGTTTGTACTGAACGTGATAGTCAGCTATGCCTTTGGTGCAGCCATCACTGGGATAGTGAACATATTCACCATTGAGAAGGACGTCCCTTTGAATGCTACAGAAGTCCACGTACTGACATTTATGCGCCTTCTATTTCAGTACTGCATCAGTCGCATGTTCTACCCCGTTGCTGGCTTCATTGCTGACGTGTACATCGGGCGATGCAAAATGGTGAAGATATCGCTAGTCCTACTGGCAGTTGGATACACAATGCTGGTAGTAGCGTTCATACTAGGAGGGCAGAAGAGGGTATTTGAACAATCTGAGGCCAAGGCTGCCATTTGTGTGGACCTCGTCCGAATGGTAGCATTTCTCATCATCAGTGCAGGTGGAGGAGCTTTTGAGGCCACTATCATTCCGTTTGGTGTTGACCAACTCCAGGGAGCTTCGTCTGCTGAAATCAGCTCCTACTTTTACTTTTTCTACTTCAGTCGAAACCTTGGAATGGTATTGGGTGTTGCCATCTATAGCATAGTGCTGTACGCCAGTTTAAAGATGAACAGTATCGAGTTTGAAAACTACCTCCAGTTTATCAGCGATAACCCGCACATCAACGAGCTATATGGTGTATTTCAGCCGCTTGTTACACTCATCATATTAACAGTTGGGATTATTCTGATCATCTGTTTCCACCACTGGTTCTTCAAGAACACTCTGTGGGAGAACCCAGTCAAACTCATTGCCAAGATCCTCTGCTACACTGCCACAGTCAAACGCCACCTCCCAGTCCGCAACAGAGCCTTCAGGTACGGAGAAGAGAGGAAGAATAGAATCGAACTGGCAAAGATCACGTATGATGGAAAGTTTCCCGACGAGAAAGTGGAAGACGTGAAGGCTTTCTGCCGGATCTTTCTTATTCTACTGTCACTCATCCCTACAATGTTCTGCATAAACGCAGTGAGTATTATACCATTCTCCACCTGCCTTAGCTATTCTTAATTCTTTTAGTTCAACACTGTTCTATCCTACGAGACAAACAAGACATTAACAGCGCTGCACCCTCAAGAATTTCTTCAGATTGACCTCTACCCAAGCATCTACTTTGGAGTCAACTCCATACTCACCCTCCTGCTCCTCCCACTAGTCAATTTCCTGGTCATTCCGAGTTTTCCAAAGATGACCATCAGAACAAGGATAGGAATTGGACTGTTTCTGTATTCCGTTGGGAGTGCGGTAGTTGTTACAATTCACGCAGTTCCCCTTGTGAGCGACAAACATAGCACCGTCTCAAACATTCAACTAATCTGTCTCCTTATCCCCATGGTCATCTTTGCCTTGGCAGAGGTCCTCACCGTTGTATCAGGTCTGATAATTTCCACTATAAGCATTCACTAAACATTACGGTTTTTCTCTTTCTCTCCTCAGCTTTAGAGTTCATTTATGCTCAGTCGCCAGAGAGTATGAAAGGACTTCTCACTGGGCTCTTCTTCTTCCTTTTCGGAATCATCTCCATACCGTCGTCCGTTGTGTTCTACGCCTATTCTGGCAGCACAGAGGACCAAAAACTAGTCCGCTTACATGGAGCATTCGCTATCATACAGGTAGCCCATACTTTCTCACTAAACTGAGGTATATAGTATAGCCTACCCCAGTATCGAAAAAGGTCACTCATAAAAATAGAACTAGGTAGTATAATATATACAAAGCAGCCCAGTGCTGATAAAAAGGACCTCATTTTCAAAATGTGTCTTCAGGTTGTGGGACTGGTGTTGTATGGAGCGGTGGCAGTGTTGCACAAGAACAGACTTCGTCCAGATGGAGAGAGCTCCAGCAGACACCAGCAGAGACTTATGATTGAGGACCAACTCCACATCAGCATGATAGGCAATAGATAGCTGCATAGGAGACTCTTGTGCATTGTCCATCTGTATACTTTAAGGTCGTGTGGGAAGCACTCGGTTAAGTACTTTTACATGACTTTGAAATGCGTGCTCAGAGTATCACTTTCAGTTTGCAAATGGCGCCATTATTGTATTTTCAGCGATATGGATTCGTGGGCTAGACTATATTTGGTACTTTGCAAGGGGCCCTCATTTCGAGACATAATATGGCATAACTGATAGTAGGCATCAAGCTATACCTAGTATAATGGTGTAGTGTGCCTTTACAAAGCTATGGTCTACATAAGTAGCCACAACCTAAGAGCAAAATTACTCTGAATAATATAGTCAAAATTGTTGTGGAAAACAACTGTGTTTTGGCCAACACAGGCCACGTCGTGCAACAAACTTTCAGTTTACAAAATTCCCAAGAAGGCATGAGTCATGAAAAGCACCGTGCATGTTTGTAAGTGTTACACATGGGAAGTATGTTACAAGCCTCTTTCCGACAGAGAAGCGTCAACAGGAGTGTCATTCTTCCCGGTACAGCCGTAGGCGTTTAGCTGAGATGGCTTCATTGGTCAGACACGCCATAAGTCGCGTGGCATCAAACGCTTCCTCCTCCACAAGCAGCAGTAGCCGATCTGGCAAGAGTTTCAGCAGCTGGGGAACTAGGAGACCTAGAGATTCCCTGGAGAAGATTCGAGAGAGAAGAGAGAGTGTGGCAGCTAGCCAGCCCCTGCCTCAAAGGCGAAATTTTTCAATCCAAGACAGCGAAGATACAGAAGACCAACAGACTCTCTCACTGCCTGTTCTGCGTCCTCCCATCAACCGCCATGTTGTCTGTGAACGATACCCAAAGGGCAAAGCCTCTCTGCTGGTGTTTCTGCTGAATGCCATCGTCATGTATGCTTACGGAGCAGCAATTACCGGCATCTTGGATATTTTTGGAATAGATACTTTAGAAGCAAAGATGACCTACTCTCCAATACAAAAAACCTCGCTGCATTTCATGAAACTCGTATTTCAATACTGCATCAGTCGAATGTTTTATCCTTTTGCAGGATTCATAGCTGACGTGTACATTGGACGGTGGCGAATGATATATCTCTCTATTCTCCTCCTGCTTACTGGTTATGTTATCATTTCCGTGGCCTTCACTTTGGAAGGGCAGAGCGGCATACATGTTCCTCATCTTTTGGGAAATGCTGTCAACGGAATCGGATTTTTGTTTCTCATTGTTGGTGGAGGGGCGTTTGAGGCAACTATCATTCCGTTTGGTGTTGACCAGCTCCAGGGAGCTTCGTCTGCTGAAATCAGCTCCTACTTCTACTTTTTCTACTTCAGTCGAAACCTTGGAATGGGTGGTGGACTGCTCGTGTCTGTTTTTATTTCATATTTGAGCAATAGACTGGTTGATAATGAGGATGTCCATCAACAGCTGAGGCTTTACAGCGCATTTCAGCCACTGGTCACGACAGTCATACTGAGTGTTGGACTCATTCTGATGATCTGTTTCCACCACTGGTTCTTCAAGAACACTCTGTGGGAGAACCCAGTCAAACTCATTGCCAAGATCCTCTGCTATGCTGCGACGGTCAAACGCCACCTCCCAGTCCGCAACAGAGCCTTCAGGTACGGAGAAGAGAGGAAGAGGAGAATCGAACTGGCAAAGATCACGTACGACGGAAAGTTTCCCGACGAGAAAGTGGAAGACGTGAAGGCTTTCTGTCGGATCTTTCTTATTTTACTGTCACTCATCCCTACCCTGTTCTCCATGAATGCAGTGAGCATAACATTACATCAACCACTAGAAATATAGTTTCAGTTTTAACAAATTTCCCCACACAGTTTGATGTTCTCTTATCTCAAGAGGCCAACCAGACGTTGACACAGCTGTATAATTCTTCATCATTGGAGATAGACCTCTACCCAAATACCTACTGGGGAGTGAATGTAACTGCTATCCTCTTCATCCTACCGGTAGTAAACTTCCTGGTCATTCCGAGTTTGCCAAAGCTAACCATTAGAGCCAGGATTGGAATAGGACTGGTTCTGTACTGCATTGCTGGCTTGTGTGTCGTGGTCATCCATGCAGTACCACTTGCCCAACACACTACCCACCAGAGAAGTGAAGTCTCAGGTATACAACTTGCCTTTCTCCTCATTCCCGTCTTGATCATCGCCCTGGCAGAAGTTCTAACTACTGTCTCAGGTATATACAAGAAATCTTTCATATCCCGGTGTGTGATTGTGAATGACTGCATGTTTCAGTGCTGGAGTTCATATATGCTCAGTCTCCAGAGAGCATGAAAGGGTTACTGTCTGGACTCTTCTACTTTTTCCTGGGCCTCACCTCAATCCCTTCTTCAGCTCTCCTCTACATCTACAGAGAGAGCCGGGAAAACAGGATTCTCGTCCGTTTCCATGCAGGATTCACTGTCATTATGGTACATACACACGTGGTCACATGTAGCTAATAACTTATGTGTTGGGAATATGCGTGCAGGTGGTGGGTACAGTGCTGTATGTGGTGGCTGCAGTTCTGCACAGAAACAGACAGAGACACGATGAGGACAGTCTGCAGCAGAGACTCATCATTGAGAACCAGCTACACAGCACCATATCAGCATAACTAGATGGGCACACTTCACATTATTGTAGCTACTCATTCCCTTGTAATTTCTATACTTGACATCCTGGTTTGGTATGTATGATAGCTATGTCTGTACCACAGCGAAAGAGAAACTCATTGAAAGACAAACACATACAATGTAAAACTGCAGATGGAGTAAGTTTGAAGGACATTTCACGCCAAAAGTGACATATTTGTACAAATATGGAAGATTAGTTCAGCGAATGAAATCTTCTTCCTCCGGTCGATCTCTGTTGGAATAGAGGCAGGCTACGATCACGTACATAAAAAAACCCTATGCTTCCGACCACACTGTAGATGGTGAAATAGAACGCGTGACTATGAAACCGGTCGAACTGGAAGGGATAGTAGTCTGTGGAATTTGGTGAGTCACTTGCTTCACTAAATACACAAAAATTATTTTGTTATTTTTCTCTAGTGAAAGCCCCCACCTCATCAGTTAAGTATTTTATATGTCTCGTATGTGCTGTGTGAATCATGACCATTACAATGAATATTGACTTACCTTTGATCACTACTCATTCTCATATAAAACACACATCACTTAGTTAGCTACCGCTCTGTTTCCTTCCTCTCAGATTATTCCCAGCTCCTCTCAGGTGTCCACAGCTACCAGCCCTCTCCCCACCTCCAGAGCTCCTGTACCTTCTACTGACCAGCCCTCCTCCTCCTCTGGCCAGTCTTCAGCTGCCATTGCTGCTGGTGTGGGTGGTGGAGTGGCTGTAGCTCTGGTTCTACTCATGGTAGATCTCGTCCTTGTCATTCTGGTGGTGTTTGTCAGTAGAAGAAAGCAGAAAGGAAAGCCCCAAGCAGTGGAGCAGGGGAAGGATAGAAATGGTGGCAGTGCTATGGACAACCCAGTTTACACAGGCAAGCCCTGGCTTTGCCTGAGACCTTGTTGTTGGCACATGCCTTTACTCTCCACACCGTTGTAGATTTACACACTGCTGACACTTAAAGTAGAGTATTTTTTCCTTGATGGAAGACATACATTACACATACACACACAACAGCTATACGGTTTCAGGTGCAGGCCCTACTACAACCACTATACCACTGGAAGAACTCCCTGGATGGGATGAGGGAAGGAGAGATGGTGTGTATGATCTACCTTCTGAAAATGGCGGAGTCTATGGTGAAGTCACTAAGACTGAAGAGCCCCCTCCTTCACCTGGTGAATACGCCAGATTTAATTCCTATATGAGACTACATAACTGATTTTTACATGTCACGGTGTGTTTTCATTTTTTGTGCCTACGGTTCTGAATTGACTTTGTTGTATACGATGACACTATTACTCCTATGCATGCAGGTTGTTCGTGTGCGCAAGCGGGGTTTTAGTTGCGCATGCGCAACCGAAGTTTCGCGGATAGTAGTCTACCAAAAACAAAACAGGCCAGGCTTGCGACAGTGCTGGTGTGCGTCGGACATGGACCAATTGTTAACCCGTGTGTTACTGAGTGC